TTGAGAAAAAATATATTCGTATTGTATATTCTACACCGTTTAAGTTGTCATTCTGTTTTAGTTTTAACCACAAAAATTAAAGATGTGAGTTAGGTCTAAAAGTTTTCGTCGAATTGCCAAAGTTTAGTTACTGTAATAATTTTGGATATTCATTATTATAGCTATCTGTTTGATCGTGTTTTGATTGACTAGTTGATTAACTATCTGCTTACGATATGAAATTTCACCCTAAATGTTTTTAACCTAAAAATTTCCTCCAAGTTATAAAATTAGACGCGATGGCCAGTACAATTTGGGACTAGTAGTACGAGTTGGCCAAAATGTTTCCAAATTGAGTTAAAACACGGAGTTTGTTAGCGGTTTGGCAAACCTCAATCCTGCTAAAGGTTTCTAGTTACCCCCCTTTCGGATTAAAATTTAGTCCCATAAGCCAAAATTATTCATTTTTGCGTCAACGAAATAAAGGACTGTGACCTTAATTGAGCAAAGTCTAATTGTTCTTCTACATCATCTCGCACAAAATTTAATATACAATCTTCGTGCATTAGCCTAAATCTACTCACGCGATTGGTCAAAATCAATCACGTGGTTTCTTGTTGCCTGGCGACAGATCATGAAAATCGTGGTTTATTCGCAATAACCTATGAAAATCGTGGTTTATTCAAAAATGACCGCCTGCAACGAAGCTTGGATCTTCAATACAGCAATCAATGAACTCAGATTGTATATTAAAAGTGTTAGAGACTTTATGTTCGTGTTTTGTTTACAAAAAATAAACGCACGCACTGACCATACAATGAACTCGAAATTTCAATATTGCACTCACCTGCGGTCTCGTGCAATATTGAAATTTCTCGTTTATTGCAATTGTATGGTCAGCGCGTGCGTTTATTACTCCGGCGTCAGCGACGGAGTTGAAAATTCGCCCCGGTTTTGTTTTGTTTTTGTTTTTTTTTTTTTTTTTTTTTTTTTTTATTATTTTTCGTCGTCGCAAGTCTGTAATGGCGCGAAATATACTAGTATTTGAATAGTGTATGTGATCGTATTTATCTACGTCCCAGTCTTATCTCCCAAGAGTTGTGGTGCACAGCTTTGGCTAATTTTCCAATGCGCGATTCGATTTCGCTCGCATGATATGGCAATTCCTCCAAGAGGAACAAATAAACCGTTCTTTTTATGCTGTTCGATTAAGTTTAGATTGAATTGGGGTAAGAATATATTTAATACATGTAGACTCGGTCCTATTTTAATAATATCGCTGCTATTTCGCCGTTTAACAAGATGATGTGGTCGTGTATGGGCGCGTTGACACGTCGCGTAGTTTGCACAGGATCGAAGATTTAATACAACTATATATAAGCGCGAATTCCAAAGGCAAAGTGTAAGACGAAGCGAATGTATCATGCGGTTTATTTACATTTTTGAACAATTGAACTTCTATACTGCGATGTGCTTCTGAATTTTGCGATCGAACATTTAGGTTCGCAAGGCATCTAAATGCGAATATGTATGCGAAACAATACGCGAACTGTATTGTTTATGTTCAGAAGCTCTATATTGAAGACTGGCACGTGCGCCGGAGTTAACGCCAGAACGGCGTCTTGTTTCTAAACAAAACACTCACAACAGTCTCCTAATCCTAAAATAATTTTGCATATATGTATGTCGGTTATTAAAATTGCTACAAGTAGAATAAATAAATGCTGTAAACCAGACTGGAAAACGAGCTGCAATTCAAGACAATTGTTTGAACGATTGAACATGGTTGTTTGCACATTATCACGGTTATCTAGGATCTAGATACAAGCGACAAATGCATGTATAGGCACAAAACGTACACCTCGCAACGGTTTGTTTATACAATTACCCGCCTTTTCAAAAACAATACATGCAGTCAATATTAGTGACCTTCCCAGGCAATCATGCATTGTGTGAAAAAATACACTAATGAAAAATCGTAATTATATAGTGAAAAAAATTTCGACCGGCGTCAAAGACTGACATTTTAGTCTCAGAATGGCCGACTTTGTGGGCATTTTTGCAATAATTTTCATCTCAATACTCCAGCAAGGCGAATGCGTAACTGTCCAAGCCGTTTTTCGAAAAGCAGATGGTAAATACTTGGCGAATCATGTGATCGGCACGAAGAAAGCCAAAACTGAAGTAGAATGTAGCAGGTATTGCGTAGGCCATGGATCATGTGTGTCGGTTAACTACAAAACCTCTGGAATCGGTAAAGGTCGATGTGAGCTAAACAACAAAACCATTCAAGACACATCTGACGATGACGGAAGTAGGAATAACCCTGAGTTCAAACATCTTTATATAATAAAAAAGGTAAGAATTAACTACGGAAAATTTCCTGGTGATTTGTAAGTAATCGGAAAGTATCTCGGGAAGAAGACAGCGTCCTTTTTACCAATATTCCATGAGCGGAGGGGAAGTGCTAAGAAAATTTTAAACCATTCAACAATTCCGTCAAAGCGGGCTCCCTGTAAAGCCATAACTTATTTACAACAAATTTCTGACAGCCGCGAGGGAGCTTTTGAGTTCGGGGTAACACAACTCGAGCGAGATCGGTGCTATAAAATTATGGCAAAAAGTTTGAATATGAAAACCATAAAATGTAAGGCTTTACAAGCTCAAGGCTGGTCTTATCTTTGACTTTGCGTTGTTGTTTTACAGCACCTAGACCTTGCTCCGCGAAGGATGGCCATAACTCGATGAACTTTTGTCCAATTTCTTCTCATAAACTACGATTTAAAGCTCGTGTTTCCACACGCACATAAAGGTCCAAATCTTTATATATGTCATATTAAAAAAAACGAAATCGAAAGAACTTAGTTTTCCGCATATTTTAGTATGCATTTGTTGACCCATATGTGAAATAATAACAATTTGGAAGCATCTAAAAATTTCCGCGCGTAAAAAACGCGACAGTGGAAAGCAGCTCTTAAGCCGGTTTTCTACTATAGGCAAAATTTTCGCCCAATTTTCTTTTCAATTGTGACCGTTGAAGGGAATCCGCAACGGTTGAACTCTCACAATTCAAAAGAATATTTATCAGACGAAAAGGCCCGCACGCCTGTATTATATTTGCACGATTTACAGTGGAAATTATTGTTTTCACAATTTGCACGCAAGCTGTTTTAGGGACTGAGGTCGATGTTTAGAGCCGTTATAGTTGATGGTTTTGCCTATAAAACTATAGTTTCGTAAAACTATTTTATTAATTTTCTGTAATAATAAATGATATTTTTCAAATGTATCAAATCAATTACAAAATTAATTAAATGACTGCATAGAATTGAAAATGAGACAATTTAAATTAAAGATGATGAACATAAACACTGTCCGAATTGAGCAGCTTTGTTTTCTATATAAAACTTTTCAACAATCTCAATAAAAAAATAATGAAACGGCCTTACAGGTTTTTTTTATAATTCAATAAGGCGACATAGATTAGGAAGATAATTTTGAAGAAATTAATGACAAGAACAAAATGAGTATTCTGACCAGATTCCCTAAGGGTGTTAGTAGGATAACTCTTAGTTCTGAAGTACTATATACTCCTCGAGGTATGAGTTATAGGAAAGTATTGCAGCATACTTAGATGCAATTGATTAGGAGATTGATTGATTAAAAGTCGCGTTGTATAATAGAATGTTTACTGCTGAAGCTATTTTTCAAATTACGGATCATGTCGGTGATTGATACAATAATGATTTAGAACAAGTGTATGTTTACCTTTTAGGACAAAGACTCATATCATGTCTAAAGATAAAACTTAAACGCAGTCAAAATAACCCCTCATAGGCTGCGTCCGTGGTTTAAACTATACGAACTATCACCTATCGGCGTAGGCCTGACCTAAGCCTAGCTTTGCACTGGGGTTTTGCAGTGTAAGCAGCCTTTGACAGAACTTTGGTCATTATAAACTTCATAACGACATGCATGTACCGTTATAACTACTGTTCCTCGTCAGGTCTTATAGTGTTTATAATTCATTCGATATTTCTAACAACAAGAACTACTTTACATTTAGTATATTAACATATTACAGGGTGTCTCAAAAAAAACGCAACACTTAAATATGCAAGAATATTAATATTGTTCGGGTTTGCACCATAGTTCAGCTAAAATTACTTTTAGCATTTTAAATGAAGGATTAAGAGCCATTTTCAATTCCCAGAGGTGCTTATCTATTGCGCGGCTCCGATATCGCGGCTCCGAAACGGCTCCGATATCGAAGAATGTTGTGTTTTTGACGAGAGAGTTCCGAAAAGAGGGGTTTAAGATGAGTTGACGAAGTTTTACTTTTTCACAGATATCATCGAATCCAGAATCAGCCAGCAGCGCTCCAAAGAAATTTAAAAATATCACCACAGGTATGATATTCATATTCCAAGGTTAATAGACCTGTTTGAAAAAAAGAAGTAGGAGGCATACTACGGTAGATAAGACGAGGCTATAATTTTATAGCCAGACTTTTAAATTAATTCTCATTTATTATCTCTTTTTCGCTTGAACCAACAAGAAAACGAGATTTTTCAGGTGAAGTTTAAAAAAATAGTTAAATTTAGACAGTATAAAATCCGACTATTCTCGTTTTTCGATTGAAACGGAGAAAACATCATGCGCGAAATATGTGTGGAAAAATTCAGAAAGCCTAGGCCTGCAAAGTTTATTCAAATAACCATTACAATCAGCTGCACCAACAGAAAAGAACAATAAGAAATTATGAAACGAAACCTTGAGTTAATTACATGATTGTTCAAGACGTAGCCGAACACATTTTTTAATGTCGAATTCCTAATTTTCGAATTACTAATGTCAAAATTGTTTACAAACATGCTGATCTTTTGGTTTAGTAACTAAGTACGTCATTTTCAGGTTTTTCAAAGGAAACCAACAAATCTTGCACTATTTTAAAAACCAAGAATCCTTCAGCTGTTAGCGGAAGGTATTCGATAAAGCCTGAAGGATTCGACTTCGCGGTTCAAGTATTTTGTAACATGACTTCGAAGAATGGTGTTGGTGTGACAGAGATTGGACATGACAGCGAATCAAGAACACTTGTGGACAAACATGACATCAAGGGTTCTTACAAGAGAACGATCAAGTATGAAATTCCAATGGAGCAGATTGTTGCCATTATAGAACAGTCGAAGAATTGCGAGCAGTTTATTAAGTATGAATGTTATCATAGCAGATTGTTACGAAGTTCTTTTGGTTGGTGGGTATCACGTCAAGGCACAAATATGAATTACTGGGGTGGAGCGGCAGTCGACAGTGGAAAATGTGCCTGTGGAATGACCAACAGCTGTGCAGGTGGAAAAAAATGTAATTGTGACATCAATGACGACACATGGCGTGAAGACAGTGGATACCTGACAGACAACAACACACTGCCTGTTATTGAACTGAGATTCGGGGATACAGGTAAAAGCCGCAGTGTTGATGAGCGTGGTTATCACACACTGGGGAAATTACGTTGTTGGGGATGAGGAACAAAGATATACAAAAGAAATTACCTCAATCAACCAGTCTTACAGAGAGTAAAACTATAATAATTTGATTCAACCTGTAAAAGGTTGAAACCTGCCCGACTACCGCTCGTCTGCCCGCAACTCATTGTAACTCTTCTTATAAACAAGAATTATTATCTTCAGTGACCTAGAACTGATAAATATACCAAGTTTAGCATCCATTTTAATACGAAAATAACCTATTTGTGTTAAGTGGAGAATGCCAGGGAATAAATATAATTTATTTTCTTTAACACAACAACTTCAATTTAAATTTTTTTTCACGCTCTCGTGTTGAGCCAGCTGCTGCAAATATAAAAATTTTCAGGCTTTAATGTTTGCTCCACGCTTTATTATTTTTCTCGCACACTTGGCTTTTTCTCCACGTTTTTCATCGGAATCCATTTCACCCGCAGTGAGCTTATTGCAAATTCCTGGCTCATGATCGTCAAAATCGAACTCGTCAGAACTTGAATTATGTCCATTTGTTTCGCCTTTCCTTTGCAAAGGTACATCGGGGGACGAAGTATTTGATGTCGATGTTTTTGTGAAATTAGCACTGACACGGGAGAACAGCACAGCATTTGTTGCAGATGTGGTAGTATTTCTTAAAATGGAGGATCTCGCATTTTGATTAATACAACCCGTAAACGCATTGCTGTTGGATATGCTGGTCTTTGAAATTAAACTGTCCTTAGCGGACGTTAAATGCAGAGTTGAGTTTGAAGCTTTGGATTTTGGAATGCGATCTGAAAAATCAGTATTAAATATTAAAACGGATGCGCACGTCATGAAATCGACCAAAATAACGACAAAACGCACACGTAAAACATGATCGCTTCACAAACATACTCAGGCGCACAAGATGGTAAAAATAGGCAAACTACAGTTACATATAGATCAATGGCTAACCCCCTGTGCGCTAGCTCAGCTCAGCTTAGTCACAGATCTATGTAAGAGCCTGTAGTGTGCCTATTTTTAGTTATCTTTATAGCGCTTGCATACGAAGCTGATGCTTTTCTCATGCACCTCCATGTCCCTGATAACAATTAATCTACCTGTTTCAACTGCCTGGCTTTTCTCGAAAACTCGTGAAAGATCCTTAGTTGAGATTACGTCGAAAAGAACACCTCGTTTTCTCGCGTCATCTATGCAAGCCCTCCAATCGGTGTTGGTCTAATACAATGAGTGGAAACAAGGAAGGATATGTTTGTTAAATGCGGACTGTACTTTCACTTTACCATCGGAAATACGCTAAAGTATTCAAAACACGAGTTACTGAAACAATCAAAATTACTGTACCTCGAGAGAGTTGACATTAAGTAATATAATCAATGAGTATTTTGCGCGCGTCAGCGCTACATTCAGCCGCGTTCGATCCGCAAGAAATCTAGAACAAGCATCCACAACTGAGATTAGGCCAAAATTTTATATCATTTCCATCATTTCACATCAATCAATCAGAGTAATTGTTTAAAGAGTAATTTCAGTGACCATGCAGCTTGCGCGCCATGTTGCGAGAAACGCATAACTGATAACATTTTAACGGTGTGCCTTCTTGGCCCATGCAGTTGGCAAACGTTGGTAAACGTCTGCGCGATTACTTAAAAGCGCAAGACAGTGTAAGAAGAATCGTGAAGAGATACACAATGAAAAATCGGTAAAGGATAAAAGATAAAGGAACGAAAGAGAAAGGAAAACAGAGGCATATCTTTCTTTGGACGAAGCGTCCGTTTTAATGTACGAATTCCACGTTTTATGAAGATATTGCTCTCATGATGAAAATTTTAAAAAGCCCACGTGCTGAGTTTGTTTTGTTTTGAGTTTAGTCTGTTAAAAAAAGAAATTTTCAGAAAAGGCATGCCTAAATTAGTGAATTTCCCAAATTTGGCTGCAAATGCTGCGACGTACGGAATCTGTCAGGGAAGTTTGGCAAAATTTGGTATACTTTTGTATTACGGACGGTGCGTGTAACTATTTACATATTTGCATAACTAGTTACATGCATATTCGCATTTTTAGCTAGATTTAAGCAGATTTGATCAAACTAGCTACATTATCACACCGTCTGGTGTAAAAGAACACGTTTGAGGATACACTGAGGCATCTTTCTCACCTATAGTGTTAATTTACGCATTCGAAGCATAATTTTTTTTACATCAAATTGATGTATTTACATCAAGTTGGTGTATTCATTGTCTATGTTTCCAGAATACTGCAAATTATAGAGTATGCTGTCGACATCAATAACCCATAACCATAAAAAAGAAACATTTTGATACAAAACCATGTATCAAGGAATTTAAATTCTTACCGTTAATATTGTTTTCCACTTACCCAATACCTCTGTGCGGATCTTTGCCGGCACGAACACATGACATTATCACAAAATCTTTCTCGCGACCCTGAAGCCAATACAACAGTTAATCACTGGAAATTTCTTTCAAAATCCATATTATAGAAATAGTAAGGATTCAAGTTTGAAATAGTATGGAATTTCATAATATTCATACTAATTGCCATTTCCATACTATAGATATAGTGCAAATTGAAATCGCTTTTTTAAAAAGTCCTGTCTCATACTTATACACTTTCAGAATTTTTGAAAATTTGCTAAGTATCTTCCAACCTGGAAACCATCCACTGTATCAACTTCAACATTCTTTAATCCACTGCAAAGCATAAGAACATTTTTAACGTGGATTACAGAGGTTACTCATGCCGTACACGGTAAAGACACGGAATAAGTTGAATGCTTCACTAAAAATAGTATATTCAGCACATGCAAAGTACAGCGTATGAAACGGGAATACTGGAATTGCAGTAGATATGCAGACTTTATTTGTTTTATACAATATACATTTTTTAAAAACTGGTTGATGTGTATATAATTTAGAGGGTTGGTCCAAGTTTGGAGGAGTGAATTATGAATACAAAATACGTTTAAGGGGCGTTATTAACACTAAGGGCAAGTAAAAACAGTTACGACCAGGTATTTTTTGGAAATATTTACCTCTGTGCAAGACGATTTCGAATTAGGTTGACTTGCGCTCTATACGGGGTGATGATTCCAAAATGATTCTCACTGACTTCCCGTTGCAACATCGAACATATTTCAACGACCAGACCACTCTCCACTGGATTACATAAGGAACTATAAATGGAAGAATTCGACGTTTCACTTTAAAACTTTAAAATCTGTAAAAGTTAAGATGACCTTTCACAGGTACAAATAATAGAAAGATGGAACAAAGGGCACAGCAGTATAATCTAGAAGTGAAATTTACAGGCATGGTTATGGGTAAAAGCTAGCACCTGCGTTGTTTTAACTGGAGGTATAGTTATAGACATACCCACAAGGTGAATTTTGTTCGATGCCATTCCGCACATTAAGCAAAGCGTAAGGTTTAATTGAACTGACACACTTTCGAGTCGCGAGTGACCTACATCCATAATAAACACATTTCACTTTATAAAAATATCAGGCATAAAAATATTAGGCATAAAAATATTAGCCATCTATGATACATATGGCTCAGGCTAATGTTCTAAATGTTTGGCCCATAACAAGCTTATATATAGGTCTCCTGAAATGTCCTTTCATATACCGTGTTGTTATTGATGAGAATAGCTGTAAATCGTGAAGACTGTAAAACTGAAAGGCCACTTAGTATTTCTTACAGTTTTTGTAATATCTCATCTTAACGCTGCATGCGTAAAAACCTGCTCACTTTTTGCCGACATAAAAAAGCTAGTTAGCTTGGCAAGCAACATTAGCGAAAATTAGACAATACGAGCAGGTATAGCATGCACGTGTACAGATACTGGTAACGAGCAATAAGAGAAAAAAAGCCTCTTTCTCTGCGATGTTTTTACAGTTTTTACCTTTCATCTTGAACTCGGCCTTGGTAGACGTACTTCGCTGGGAAGAATGAAATCGCTGGATGCATGCGATATTGTAAGTCCAATAACTGTATTGGATTGTCGTTGGTTGCATGAAGAGAACGTCCTTGATAAAAAAATAATGTTTTTGCGATGAACTCTATACCACACTATATACGAAGCAATTTTTTGTTGTTTATGTATACAAATTTACAGTGGCGTAGCCAGCATCGATAATTGGAGGGGCCCTTATTCATATATTCACGTTAACAGACTGTGAAGACAATTGACTTGAAAAGAAATTATTAATCCTGGATGCCCATTCCGAATATATGCCCCCCCCCAATTATCGTGCTGGCTACGCCACTGTACATATAAGTTAGGTGGCAAATTAATATTTTTCCAAATTTTCCTGTACACATTTGTGGCTTTTTTCGTTTATTTATTTTTTTGAGTTGCGAAATTGATCCCTATTTTTTAGATACACTAAAACAATGTTCTAATCCAAAATATTGAATTCTATCAGCGAATTTATGCGTCAGAATGAAGACATGTTGGTTATTGCAACGACAAAGAATTCTTGAAAAAAATGTTACTCAACCTATTCAATATAGTTCATTGACACAATAATGGCAAAAGTTTCCTATATATACTGAAGCTTTCACACGACCGTGTACAGGAAGGAAAACGTTAAAACTCATTTGAATATTTAACTCAAATAAATAACAGCAAATAAAAAAGATAAACTTATTTTTGTGTATATGAATCAAGGTTTAACTGTTAATGTGTTTTAAAACATTAAGTTTCGACGTAAAAATTAGAACGCAATACAGGGAAAATCTTCCTTACCACTGTCGTGAGCTCTTTTCTTAAACACTCTGTAAAGTCGTTCGTACATCGATTGGCCCAACATCAATTCTTGAGCTTTCTGTTAAAATTTAAACAAGTGACACTCAATTTATTAGCTCGTCCTCGTTGTTCTTTAATCTAGTGGAAAAATAATTTCAAACATGTCTTGAAATATTGAGACAAGACAACGTCTGTTCAATTTGTGCTCCTGTAACTGACCAAATTTATGAAAAAAGGGATGAATTTTGCACTTTTATTCTTGACTACAATGCAAACCTTAGATATCACAGTGCTCCGAAGCTGTTCCGGGTCACCGACCATAACTAGCTTTGAGCTTCCAAATTGCAAAGGAATTAATAGATCAAGCTCACAACTCTGACACGCCTAAAAAGGAAAATTTCATCAAAATTTCTTAAATTCATCAAAAAAATTCCAATCCAATTGGGAGTGTTCTTATATGATCAATGTAATATTGACTACCACAAATTAAAGTGAATACCAGCTCGTTTAACTATACTGTTACCTCATCCACTATAACGCAGCCAAATGGAACATGGGCGCTAGAAATGAAGGAATCTTATTTGAAATTTTGTGAAAAATACAGATGGACAAAAAAATCATACCTGAAAAGGTTTCCTCTGACGTGTTAAAATTACGAGTATAAACCCTAGCCGTGCATGAGCTTGATTTTCTATAATGTGTACATGGATTTGGGATAGAAAATCTAGGTCAACGAGAACAAGCAACTCTGGGCTAGGGGAAGGCGAAGTGCGCTCCTATCACGACCTGGAACCGGTCGTATAAAAACTACATAACCACAAAATTAACGATTGACGGATTCAGTCACGTACTAATTATACATAAAAATTAACGGCCCTGTTATGCGACTGGCTCCTGGCATGGGCCTGGGGTTAACACATGTAGCCAATGGCATCGTGTATACAGTTGTCTTACATCGAGGTCTTCAGTTTATGAAGCAACGGTGAACCAGAAGCACTCAATGTACAACATATGACATCCGCCGATTTTAGAATGTCTTTTCTTATCTTTTGTTCCTCGTCTTTCAACATTTGCCGTTTTCTACGTATAGTGAGATATTTCTTCTCTAGCATTTGTTTTTCCTTCACAATTCCTTCAATTTCATAATTTAGGGATTTAATCTAAAAATTTTAAATCAAAATATGTACCAGCAAGAACTATTAGGCCTACTATTATATACTATTTCTATACTATTTAAAAAAGACCCCCACTACTGTCCAGTAACAACAAACCTCGTAACTGTCATGTTGAAATCCAGCCAATCGTAGCTGGTAAACGTGCTTTCCTAAACTCTCAATTTTCTCTCGAAGTGAATCTACTTTTCCATGAGCAATTCTCTCATTTTCGTGATTATTACTGGAACGTTTTGAAACCTCAATCTTGGTCAAAGTTTCCAGTGCAAAAGGGGCGAGTTCAGGGTGATGAACGGATGCTCGACCAACACAAACTAGGTGTATATCGCCACAATTCTTTTCTAAAATGAATTTAAAACAATCAGTAAACAAAAATGAAAAGGACTCCAACTGGGGCTGGGGTATACTTCATGTAATATAGTTAGATCATGTATACTCCCAGTGGCGTGGCAATTCAGTTTCAGTGCAGTGTATTTACCGGCTACATAGCCCGAGTTAACGCCTACCGGGCGTCTTGTTATTATTTTTTTTGTGCCACAGGCTTAGTCTTCTGCGCGGACAGTCGCGTATTCACCGTGTATCAATATATAGCTCAGTTTCAGTGCAGTGCATCCCGTCTGCATAGTCCGGCTATCGGGCGTCTTGTTACTTTATGTTTTGCGCTAAATGTCCTTGCCTTTCATAAAGTACCAAGTAAAAGTACCAAGAACCATATTTTTTAAAATAATTATGAAATGAAACTTGAAACTGTGAAATACTTTGAAAGATGTCTCAATTTTAAATGGATCTGACCATGAAACTTTAAAAAAAAAATTCAAATAGAACTTACTTCTTCCAGTCAAATTATTGGTTGTTGTGGACTTTATTTCGGCAATCATTCGGCGAACGAGGACATAAACAGCGGCATTAGACGGTGCACAAAGCAATATCTTTCCCGATGTTTCAACACGAACAAGATTCTTTGAACCAGGTAAACGATTTGCTTTTTCAGCTCTGATATCTTTTTCTTGATTCTATACATTAGTTTAGAGAGAATAATATAACAAAAAAATAAAATTTTCTTTTTTTTCTTTTTCTTTCGTTCTTTTTTTCTTAAAGAATTTTTTTTATCCATTTTAACCATTTATACTATTGATCATGAGGTAACCTGACACAGCGTTCATAAACAGAGGGGCATATTTACGTTGTTAATGCATGGATCTCTATAATCTGGATTTTTTCTTAATTTACATACAACAGAAGAAAAAATTAATTGGGATTTAAATCCTTCTTGTTAAAATATAACAATAATTCACCTCTAAATATGATTTTAACAAGCCGATAATAGTGTGGGATTTCCCCGTCCCTGGTGGCCCTTGGATGAAAGAAATTCTTGGTATTGGGTAGGGTAAACGAAGAGCTGCGACCGTGCCATTAATGGCAGCTGCTTGGGATTTATTGTAAACCTATGAAAATATATGAAATAAAAGCATTAAAATTCCAAACACTTCTAATCAACTCATTATATGACTTATGAAATAATAACTTACTTTCAATCAGTCGAAATTCAAGGTAAATGGCGCATATGTAGCTAGGGATACATTTGTAACAAATACAGTATAGGATGTTTCAATGTCATACCGCTGTTGATTTGATCCCGCTAAGTCATTCACCTGCATGAGTTACAGTTTTTACAACGTCACATTTTGGTCGCGTCGAATGCAATAAACCTTTTCGGTAATTACGTTCACATTAATCACAGCATTACCATTTTAAATTTAGAACCACTTTAGATGAAATGAACTGAAGCATATGGATGCATTTACTCTCACAAGCCACCTGCAATGATGCAAAATATCTTCCTTCAACATGTGCATAAAATTTTTTTTTCATTTTGATCAATAAATGTTGAAATAACCCATAACATAAAGAACGAGGCTCAGGAGCCAAGATCGCGACCCTCGTTCTCGTGTTATGGCTTATTTCCATATTCGTTATTTCCATATATAAATGAAAAACTCTTTTTCATGCAGGTGTTGAAGAAGGATGTTTTGCATCTTTGGACATAACTTGTGAGAGTAAAACTTGAAAATAGCCATCTCATTTATGGTGGTTCTAAATTTAAGGCAATAGTGTTGTGACGTAATTATCAAAAGGGTCCATTCCAAAATGGATAATGATAACATTTATTATCAGTCTATTGTTTGAAATGCATTCGACGCGACCAAAATGCGAGGTTTAATCTAGTCTTTAAAATGGCTCAAAATAATTTTCTTAACAAGGGCTTTCAAGCCGAAATGTTTTCTTTATTATGGGCTGACTTTTCGTTCTAAGAAAAGAAATGCAAACAAATCGTCATAGCTAAAAAAAGAGCGTACCAAAATTGGTAAAAATGCAAAGGTTGCGAAATGTTGTAAAATGTGGAAAATATAGTCTTGAAAAGTATGCAAATTTGAATTTTTACAAATAAATTTGCAAACTATGGACGGATATAGTTTTTTCTCGCATTTTACAACATTTCGAAAACAATCTTTGCGTTTACTAACGCTCTTTTCAGCTGTGATGATTGGACTGCTTTTTTTGCATGATCTATTACTATTGTAATAGATTACTAAAGCAGCTATGGTTGACAACGACAATATACATTTTTGTGTATATTTTTGGCACTTAATCAACGACATTAAAATTTGATTAGTCCACCATTTTTATGCGGTATGAAGTAACATATACCTGTTCAGCAGCATCAGTCTTTTCTGTTCGAAGACTGCTGTTAAAACAATGGTTTATTCTGGGCTGCAAAATATCTCTGGCCAAAAGACTACGCGGAAAAAACATCAATCCATTCCACTGACGTAACGTTGTTATTAATGAGGTCACAAACACACAGCGTATTTTTTCATTAACAATGAGTGGTCGTTCCTTTGGTATCAGTCGGAGGGTAATACTCACGTCAAAGTCCTCAACACCTGAAAAAAGATTTTTTAAATCACTAAATTATTATTTATTTTCAAATGACTCGAAAATGCTCAAAAGCTTCTTTCGATCTATACTCATTGTTAAAATTTGAATGACCTGGTCGCGAATTTTTGCCCGAAGGGATTTGATGCAATTAACTTATAAAATATTAAGTCAGTAATTATCATCATGTACATTGTATAAACAAATGCCATTGCTTATAAGGCATAAAGATGCTAATGTAAAACATTTATATACTCGTTGGTCCTAAAGAGTGCTTGGACATTCAAATTCTAATGAGTGATTTCAATGCTCTTTCGATAGCAATGCCATTATGTCTAACAAAAAAAATGAGTGAAAAAAATTCTCATTTAAAGAAAACATATTCCTTATGATAATAAAATAAAACGTCTAGTATTTTAGAAAATATTTTCTTAAATCAAGAAATTATTTCTTAGATCGAACAAGAAAATATTTTCGTAAGATAATTCAATTATCTTTCTTAATTAAGAAATTCGTGTGCCATTAAGCCCTTTTTTCGTTCAATCTTATCAAATTAAGAAATTATTTCTGAGATAGAACAAGAAAATATTTTCGTAAGGTAATCCCCGAGCCGGTGCGGAGCACCGTGCGAGGGTACTAATTCCGCCCGGAGATTAGGAATTACACCCGGGACCCGGGAGAACATAGCGGAATCCAAAGTTGCCCAAATGTCATGGACGTTCAATGGTCACGGTACTTGTGCGCATGCGCGAAATGCAAACGATTGTAGACTGGTAATCAGCAACTTCCTGATTGGCTAAGACGAAACGTTTGTGTTTCAGTGAAAAACGTCAGCAATTTAACTGTCATTTTGCAAACTATTTTTTAAAAAAATGTTTCGAAAACAAAATATGAAATGTGGAATCAAATAACAGATAAAACACTGGGAAGAGTTTAAAATATTATCAGAACTGGAGGAATTAGCGGTGAAAAATAACAACTCGATTATAATCCTTGAAATGGTAGGAGTCTATTTTGTTTATTTCGAGGTTTATTTCGTGTTTGCTGTACGAATACATTTCATGACCTTGGTACAGTATGTCGTTTTGCTCGGTTTTGCGAAGACATGACCGACTATTTAAGGCTTTACATCATCGTTTTAACTTCTAAAAGAGTCCTTAAAAGTGTAATTTGGAGTTTTAATAACAAATATCACTTTAAAGGTTTATATATAGTCGACTGCAATCACTGCATGAATTTAATAATCGAAAAACAACATTCGACGTTCACTGCTTGGTTATTTATATTATTTTGGCTGTTTTGATGTTTTGAAGGTTTAGCTATAATGAAGTATCACTTAAACTGTGAAAGTCTCACTTAAACTGTGAAAGTCTATAACCTAACGCAACGGAAAGCAGCAGGAAAACGGGTGATTTCACCTCACCTTTACGACTGTGTTTGTTTCCGAAATATTTGAAACATCAGCTATCGGCTATACATTTAGGACATTTCATAATATTGAAGGTTAGGTCTAGCTAGCTCAGGAAATATTTTGCTTCGTTTGAAATGGCGAGGGGTTGCTGCATGCATGTATTTCTAGTATAAAACTATATTTCTTAATTAAGAAATTCGTGATGTCAAACCCTTTTTTTCGTTCAATCGTATTAAATTAAGAAATTATTTCTGAGATAGAACAAGAAAATATTTTCGTAAGGTAATAAAACTATATTTCTTAATTAAGAAGTTCGTTGTTTCAGTGGTTGTTTCAAGCCCTTTTTTCGTTCAATATATAAAAGCCGAAACGTCTGCTTCTATGATCAAAAATGGTGTCGCTTGAGGAAGCAGGTTTCAACAGTTACCGACGACATCCTTCAAAACTTACCGCTTTTAGGAGGGTTTCCACCCCTCGGCGGCCCGGAATTACACAAGGGCCTCGCGCTTTGTACGATAGCGAATAGAGGTTTCCGGTTTTCGTCCTTTAATTTAAGCATGACCAAATCATTTTCGCGGAAAAATTTGTCGTCAGCTTTATTTGTGGTGATGACATGTTGGTGACATACCACCAGCAGAAAACGGTCAACAAAATCATTAACAGATTTCACAACGATAATGTCTTCCTTGTGATTTCGTGCTTGTTGCCATTCACGAAGAGCCTGGAAAAGACAATATTCTTTGTGGGTTTGCTTTCTAACATACGATATTTTTTTAAGGACGTTATAATTAAAATTACATCGAATTCCTATTTGAACATCCGTAACTAATTCACTCATTCATATCTATCAAAAGACGAAAATCACACGTAAAATAACAGCAATGAACGGGCCACAAGCAAATATTACCTGAGCCCAGCACTCTAAGAACAGAAGCGGTTTAAAGACGCTGTAATAGTCATCTGTGCTCTCAAATGTTGGTTTCACTTTCCCACAATTCGCAATCTCCAGATTATATTGTTTCATTAGCATAAAAGGATCCCAATTCAGAATCTGAAAATAAGGAAGGAGAAAATTACTAACAGAAACTTAAAAATTACTTATTGCAAAGAACAGTTTGCCGAATTTTTATCCGCCTTTAGAAACACACGCCTAGGTGGGAATGGAAAAGAGGAATGGAAAAAGAACAAACAATGAGAATGGAAAACCACACAGAGACAAAGGAGAAGTTAATAGTCGGATAATATTTCAGTGAGTGAATTAGCTTGTAGGTACGTAAGCATTTAATACTGCAAACCTTTCGGTCCGTTAATCAGTGTAATTGGGCGTATTGCATTAATAATGTGCTGCCGATAATATTCAAATTTCGCATGGTGACACAGGGCCATTTTTAAGGAATCCTATTAAGAGTCGTTAACCCCCCCGCCCTGCTTAAAATACAAGCAATGTTACCGAAAAACATAGAAGCATGTATCCAGACAATATTGTTTTTGCGTTCAAAGTATGAAAGAAAACAGGGGGGTGTCACCCCCTGTTAGCATTTTAGCAAATTCAAAAAAAAACAATGTTGGCAACATGGATACATCATCATACGTTTTATATTACACTGCTTGTATTTTATGCAGGGGGTCGCTGTCTCACAAAATGACTCCCTAAAAAAGGCCCTGGGTGACATCAAATAAGTAAATTAGCTGCTAGGTAATTGCATAATTAAATTAATATAAATTTATTACATCATTGTAGTTTCGCAGTATCACGTCGTGTAGCCACAATTTTCTTAAACTCAGATATGTTATTAAGAATTCAACGACTTTTTAGACAAATTTAAAAAAAGTCAATTACCACGTAGTAGAGCTCTTCCACTGTTAGCAATTTGCTGGGTTTCGTTTCCAGGGCCTTTTTGCGGATTGGGATGACTTTATTGCCGACAGGAGCATTGACTGGTTTGTTTGGGGGAACTTTCGTTTGACGAACTGCTGCAGCAGCATTTCTTGCCGTGGTGACTTCAACACTTTTAGTGTTTGAGGATACCGCCGCACTTGAAGGCAAACTACTATTAGTCATCTTTCCGTCCTCATTCCGCTTTAGTACACTCGTCACTAATATTTCGGGTTCTTGCGATTCCCAAGAGTTCATTTTAGTTTCTTTCGTAGCATCTGAAAAAAGTTAGGTAAAATTAAATGTTTCAAACCAGATAATTAAATAAACACAATTCATTCAGAATTTAACACGAAACATACACCTCAACCACTTAAAAATATTTTATCGTCAGCGGATATGAGCCATTTACCATAATTACAAATGATTATGAAAAAATAGTCGTGGACAGGGCCGTCGCAAGAAGCTTAATTTTGGGGGGGGGGGAGGTGCGTTAATATTCATGACGTTAATATTCAGACTGATTTCTTTTGTACCCGATTGCTTTTACGCATATTTGCACATGAATATAATAATATACACCCCCCCCAATCAGGCTTCTCGGGTCGGGACGGACTTGGTCGTCGAACTCCAAAAAACAGTCACGTCCGCACTGTTACAGCGGTACTTCATTTATAAATTTACTCAAGCCTATTTTCCAATAGGAACTTTTCTTTGTTTTTTCCCACTAGCTGGTTCCACATAAAAACGCTCAGACAACGAGAAATTTCGCTCCGCGCGCAAAATTCTGTCTAGTGGAAAACGTCTCTTATATAGATAAGATTTATAGATTCCAAATTCTCCCCCATATATACGGTAAAAAAATTCACCAGGTTGTGATCAATTGTGCTGCACCCCATGAACAGTTGAACAATGTTGTTGAGCCTTGGTGAATCATGGATGTTGATGCAATGTTGTTAAAACAAGTTGCTACAGTATTATTGATGGTTGCATGGACAAAGTTCAAGTATGTTGTTTAGCATGCTGTTCACAGGATGCAGCATAACTTTTTTTACAACTGTTTTGAATAACTTGCATCAATATGATGATTTTAAACGTGTACAACAAGAGCGAATTTCGTTTTAAACTAATCGGCAAGTTTGTTTACATTTTTTAGGCAAAGCCTATCAGAATGCCTGAATTTTGACGTGAAGCATTACATCATACAGTAACAGTAATTAGAAACCTCTTTCGGTAAGCACAGTCAAAACCGTATGTACAACAAATTAAAAATAGGTTCATAACACAAGCGGCTGTTGTTATGTCACATCCGCGTCGTAAATTAGGTGCATTCTTAAACTCGGCAATGCAAACTAGTCAAATGTAATAACTAAAGAACCATTTTTTTTAAAATAGTAAACAAAAACTAAAACTACTTCGCCACTAGACCTACCCATGGCTTCTAAAGATGGCTCAAGATTTGATGTCGAACTTTCAACTTTCAAACTATTCGTTACTTTTTCTGCATCATCCTTCTGTTCACGAGCAACTAATTCTTCCTGATGATGTGATTCTAGTAGGTCAACTTTGCTCTCGACAATCACAGCTGCATTCGTGGTATCTAGTTAATATACATTAGCGTGTGAAGTTAATGGCGCAAACTCTCCCCCTCCCAGAAATACCTCTTACACAGTCCTTTACAGATAGAACCGACCAACAGCTGTCCACACTCACCCATATCGGTATCACTGATATTGAAAATCAATGTGTCGGTCTTCGCAAAATTTCCTTTAGATTCAGCATGGACGTCTGCTAAAAAACCAATCAATTTCCCATCAATATTTCTATCCCTACTAGAGTAGTCTGCGTAACACTGATGAGTATGCAGGATTTCTAGGTATTTTAAGATGTTTTAAAAGAGTTGATGTCGAACCTTCAACACAAAAACTATTCTTTACAGCAGTTTCTTCACATCCTTGCTGCTGTTCCTCCAACCCCAATTCTTCATGTTCAATAAAGTCAGGTTGGTCCATTTTCTCCTCAACACACTTTCTTTTAAATACAGTAGGCAAGTTGGCTGCAAAAAATCACTACATAGTTATCTAGCTGATTCCATTCTAATTCAGTCTACTGGATGAATAGCATCTAGCATTTGAATCGTACTTGATTAGAAGTATACACACGAATATTGCCAAAGTTTAGCACATGCAGTCGTTCACAGCTCAATAACCGCGCCACTTTTTGGAAACGTTCCAACTTTCTATCAGCTTTGTTCGAAGTAATGCATTACAGCAATGCTATTCGATAACACAATATTTTTGTCATTAGCCATTCCGAAATTGCAATAAAGGACAGGAAACAGTGATATTGACAATGCATCATGGGGCTGTTTTGGGGACAAACCTTTTGTTTATCCCAAGCCTTTTGTTTATCAAATCACCACTCCATTGCCGCAACTTCGGAATGAATGAAATACAGTACTTTTGAAATACAGTACGCGTTTAGCTATAAATATAAGTTGATGAAAAGTTGAATTCAAAGATTTCGTTGAAGTTGGGTTGGGCTAAGCATAAAAGTTTTCAGCACTGTCATTATCGAAAAAAACGAAATTAAGATAACTTTAAATATAATTTGTATAAAGCAGTCTTAAAGGGAAAGGAAAGAAATGAGGGTTATATCTCAGCTAATGTGTAGATTTGTTTGCAATTGTGTCACAAAAGAAAAGCTGTTCTCATTTTTCCATTGTATCTACCAAATGCTTGCAATTTGCATACACCGTAGAGCACGCGGGACATCAATACTTTCACAAATTGTGCGGCAAATTGCGAGATATTTCAATTAATGGTAACATGGAATAGGAATTCTATCAAAGTTCCACCCTGTATCACTGAATGGCATTCATCTAAACGACTATTACCAACGAAGACGATCGAGTCTTACCTTCGTCACCAAACCTTTTTCGTGAACAAACGGAAGGCTCTTCGTCGCTTGAGCTATCCGATGTAATCCAGATTGTTTCTACGCTATTTTGGACGTCTACAAATTAATCCAGATGAAATATAAACGAATACAAACCTCATCATCAATACGTCTGATGATCAATCATTTTTACAATTAAATACCTGTAATCAATTTGTGGGAACCATTTTTTAGCGCAATCCTTGGAGTATACTCCAATATACGTGGAGTTCCCACAAATTGTTTATTTAACTTATATTTCACCATACAAAATTTCAAAAATGTCTAATGTTTCAGAAATATGACCTCTGATGAAAAAGAAAACTTTGTTTTCACATGAACGAATTCTTTACAATCCGATACATCTCGACCGTCAACCCACCCACGCAGTTCAAAACCTGCTACACTCACCCATTTTGGTATCACTCGTATCTAAAGGTGATTTCTTCTTTATACTGGTGGTAGGAATGTCACCTGAACGATTAAACAAGAATAAAAACAAATATGTCCATGTCGTATATAGTGATATCCTCATACAAGTATTCAACAAAACAAAAAATTCACATTATCAAATTAAGCTATGAAATTCGGTCTTCATCTTTTGACGTACCTTTGACTAGTTTTTTTTTTGAAAATTTTTTCCCAATGGGCTCATCGTCATCAGAAGAACTGTCATTTGAAGTATCCAATATAACGATCACATCTTGGTTCATTGGGACACCTGTTAGATGCAGCAGTATGAGTATCGATAAGGTCTTTAAGGTCTTTACTTTAAACCGGATTTACACCGGATTTGGCGTTAACTTACACCATTTATGGGTAAAATGTACGCAGAAATACGCATGGATACCAACTTGGTGTATAAAAACGTACTATTCTGCAGGCAGATAAAGGCAGAAAATATACAGATTTATAATATAACATATAGTAGGCGCGTGTTGATTGGTCGCGGGAAGCGTGTTTCCATAACTGCATGTAGAAACACGGAACTTGGATTTCGCGGACATCTGGATAATTTAATTTGGATAATAAGTGTAGTGTAATAGAGGCAAACATTTTTCTACATGATGCGCTAGGTCTTGGCCCTGGTCTGCAAACGAATACTTAAAATGCATATTGTAATACAGAAGTAACAATTCTCATCTTACCCTTGTCATCCGAATTTTCTTTCAGACGTTTCACAGACTCATCATCTTTTGCATTATTCGATAGAAGGTGGATGGGTTCTTGCTTCGTCCGGACACCTGGATTACGATAACCAATTTGGATTAAAAAGTACAATTGAGACAATGAAATTCGCCAAAAAAACTCGTTCTGATGCGTTCTTGGTAAGCTTTTTGCCTGCACGCCCCTCGTGTTCACAATGCAAATTTCGATCAGTAAATCTATATACATACTAAAGGAAGTCCTATTTTATGTTTCTATATCACTGTTTTAAGAGAACGGCGAAATAGCCTACCATGCAGGAACCTATTAGTGAATCTACATATTAAAGGAAGTCCTATTTTATGTTTCTGGATCAGGTCTTAAGAGCAGGGTGAAAAAACCTACCAAGACCCTATACAAGTAAACAAACATCAAGGTAAAAGTCCCATTTTATGTTTCTAGATCATTGCTTTATCCCCATAAATATGCATGTGGTGTATAAAAAAATTGCAGGTATTTCTACAGCATATTAAAATGCTGACTAGTATAGGAGATTGCACTGCTCGATGGATTAAATAAATACGAGAAGCAAAAATCCTACACGAGAGATGAACAAATATTTTCCGGGTGGCGCGAGACAATAGAAAACGACTTTCGTTTTACAACCAATTTATCTTCAAGAAGCTAGGAGGCAAGCTAAAGTTCCGGACAGAATAATTTTTCAAACTCCATGTAGACTATTGGACGGACTTTCAAACTCTCCAACTCACTTATACACCATATTATGATATGCAGTATGATACGAAAGTCCTTACTCGTTTTCTCCATGTCCAACTTTTTCAAACGCACTTCGCCATCCATCAGACGAGATGTAACAGCAGCACTGTGCGATTTCCTTTACAAACGTGGAAGAGATATCGTCAAGCCACAAATTCAGAATGGTTTCGATTCACACTGCATGACAATGCTACGAAACAGCTTTCTATGCAAAATGGGTGCATTTTTGCTTGCTCTTTCATCAATTTTTGATATAGGGAAGTGAAATAACCTTGACTATGATGGTACTGAACCGTTAAGAAAACGCGTTCTATTGGAAATCAATTACAGTTTTGTTTCATACAGAAATGTGCCATGTTAGAAAAATAGTAGCGAGCTCAGGTCTTATACAGGGTGTATCAAAAAAAAGGTAATCCAACTTTGGTGCGCTATTGTACGTGAATTACTCATTCTATTAACGAATTTTTTTCACATTCCGAAAGGTTAGGCTTTTAACCATCGAATGACATGTTTTTGATAACAAATGGTGAAAAAATGAGCAAATAGGAGGCTGCTAAAAAGTGTTAGTCAAAATCGCATATTTTCACCTCTGAGAGTTGGGACTAAAACCATTGAAAATGAAATCTCTTTGGGATTTAAATGAAGAATTTTGCTTTTGAATAAGCGACCCGCATATTCATATTAAGTAGGAATAAATCACATTAGGAGAACATTCTAAGCAATGCGGCATAAAACTAGTGCAAGCTGTGACATGTTGTGATTAATTGTTTTTTTCTATTGTTATGCACTGCTTTAATTAGGCTCAAAGGTGAAAATATGCATTTTGACTAACACTTTTTATCAGCCTCCTATTTGCTCATTTTTTCACCATTTGGTATTAAAAAACATGTCATCCGATAGTTAAAAGCCTGATCTTTCCGAATGTGAAAAAAATTCGTTCATAGACTGAGTAGTTCACGTACAATAGCGTGTTGAAGTTGGATTACCTTTTTTTTGATACACCCTGTACAGCACTGACCAGAAATAACCTAACAAAAACTGCGGTTAACTTATGTCAAACCTCGGTCTGATCGCGGTTGAACCGAAGTCAGAACAAGGTCGAGCCGAGGTGTCTCCGAGGTTGAACCTCTGTCGAAACTCGGTCTCACTGACCTTGACATACATATCTTAAGATGTTTTCGACATAATTATTGTGTTGTCGTTCTGAGCAATTCATAACATTCCGTTGGGAAGCGAACGGCAACCGCGATCGTATTTTTTCCCCTGCGGTCGTCTGCGGTTTCTATCGATCGCCTACAACCGACTCCCAACCTAACCGCAACGAAGGGTTAGGTTATTTCTGGACAGTATTTCTGCAGAGTTGCAAAAAGAGTTCAACCTTCCTCCGGTAGGATTTCAAGTTTTGAAAACCTTCCTCAAAATGACGTTACGTCAGTGAGTCAAGTGGCAACCAGCATAAACAAATATTTGTTTTTTTAGTACATGCATGTGATCAATTAGAGTGCTCAACTTTTAACCTTCCTCACAAACCTCATTCAAAGCAAACCTTCCTCCGGGTGGTACCCGCGTACCCGCAGCTTTTTTGCAACTCTGTATTTCTGTAGGTCGAACGCATTAAAAGCAATAAATTATAAGCTAAAATACCTCATCATCTATTACTTTTATTGCATTCGGAGTGTGGATGACGATAGCCTTTCTTCCCGTCCGCATGGTAGATTCGATGAATCTATCCCTTTACATACCTTGCCGTATTTTGTGGTGCCATTGTCACTGACACACTTTTTGTTTCGCTTTTTATTGAGTTGGCGGAACGAACGTTGGTAGTCTTCGGCATCATAATCGTTCGCCGTTCTCGAACAAAAGTTCGGGTGACAGGAGGGAGATCCTGTGAAAAAGCCCAAAAAAGATTTGACAAATATATTCATCTACTGAAAATTTATTTTCCAACCAAAGTTTGTTTAATACAGTTGATCAATTTAAAAAATGATGCTTTCCATTCCTCTTCATAACCAGGGCCGAAACTGGTCGCAGGGAGGGGGGGTGGGAGGAGAGGTGCAAATATTCAAATAATAAATATTTAAAGCCTAATTAATTTTTGTGCTTAAGATTCTCATTAGTAAAGTCAAGTGGGGTATACCACCACTATAATGTCAATTGGTATATTCCTGTGATCAAAAAAGACTGATTTGTATACTTGCCAGATCTTTGCCACAACCTTGAATATCAACTTTGAATACCTTTTTGTCACCATAGCAATTTCTTAAATATACCCATGCATGCATGGTTTTCACACGCATACGCCTGTATACTAAAAGCTCACTTACACTTAAACTTAATTGAGTGTGAAATTTCAATCTTCTCATGACGTTTTCATGCCGCAGTATTTTCAGTCGAATAAGAACTTGATGTTCAGTGTTTCCCTTAAGTAATTTCTTTGATTACGAGATAACTTTCTCATTGATGAGAAAAACAAAATTCTCATGACACACTCAGTGAGTGTGAGAAGGGGTAGACTTTTTCTAAATCTTAGGAAATTGTTTTCCATACCTTAAAATGTGACAACAGCAAGTTTTCAAGTTTGACCAGGTTTCGTAGTTCATAATCCTCGTCTATTTCATTTTTCCCTTCAAGCCACGCGATCAGATCGCGGCTGACATTTTTAGGAATTTCGTCCACGCTCTGTAAAAACAGCTTACAGAACGAAATTGCCTGCTCCTGACCCGCTGACAGCTGCATGGAAATTCAAATTATGGTTTAAAATAATCAAAAATGTAAACCTTGCAAAATTGTGTCTTTTTTATACTGGTAATGGTGTGTAAAAATGCCTCAGTGGTGTTACAGTTGAGAGACCTTGGGTCTTTTATTAAAAACGTATACTGTACTGTAGTTGTATACCGGTAGTAGTGTGTATAAAGAAGGCCTCGTTTGACAGTTGAAACACCGTGGGTAGTTACCTAAAAACCTCACGCATTAGAAAAAAAAACGCGTTTCAGTGGTTGCTATAGACTCTATATTGTCGCGATTTTTCGATGGGTAGAGCAAGTACACAAAAAATTCTGAACGATATACTACCCATTTCCGTAAGTGCAAATTCTTTCTGAAGTAAATGTGGCTATTAGCATTCAAATTCAATATTTACAATAGGCACGTTATAATAGACCTTAGAAGGGCTTACCTCACGGGACTGTCAAACAATAAATTGCAATGCAATGTGGGAAATATGTAGGAATAAATAACCTCATTTTACATAGATTGAAAACTGTGTGACGTAAGCACCTTTAAGGTCTATTCTATTCGCCTATCCAGTGTATCAGTGTTTAATAACACGCACAATAGACCTTTTTCATCAGGACGTCAAACGCGGAAAGTCTGATGCTACATGAAGTTTGATTGGCTCGATAGTTTTGTGGAGCCAATCAAATTTCGTGTAACATCAGACTTTCCGCGTTTGACGTCATTATAAGAAAGGTCTATTGAAAAGATCGGAGGTGAAAGACCCACGATCATTCCATTGACTTAATCCAAATGTGGTAGTGAATGAATTTGATAGCTAAAATCAACCTAGGAATATATCTATAAACAGAAAAATTCAGGAACAGGAAAGAACCGATCCCTACCTGATCTAAGTCGAGGCTTAAGATTTCTAAGACATCAGGAATCCAGCGCTTGGCAGAGATATTCAAGAAAGATTTCAAAGAATTCTTCAAAAGAAATTCCAAGCAACTTATCATGGTCACCATTGTATTATCGTATCCTTCAGAGGGGATTTCAAGTTCATCTGAAGGAAAAAAAACATTAGAGTGATTAAATGTTCAAAAAGATCACGTCCCACATATTTGATCACATCCAAACGTTACCTTTCAGACAGTCGAAGTATTTGAAAACCACTTTAACTGCTTTTTCCGCGTCGTCACCAAACACAACCACAGACTCCAAAAAGCGCTTAAGCCAAGTTAACATAAGAACCTGGAATGATTCTTCTGGGTCAGTAACCCTGGAATAACAAGAATATTTCAAAACAAGATGTTGCATTACTTGAGTTGTTGTGCATTGGGCATTCGCCCGGCCCGAGATCTATTTTACAAAATATAGAAGTAAAGTTTTTTTACAAAATAGCATATACAAATTAAAAGTTAACAAAAATGTATAAAAGACCAAACAAAAGATTGCACATGCAGTTACTATTTTTTTACATAAATCACAAAAAGTCCTGATCACGGATTTGAAAAAAAAACTTATAACCCAAGAAAAATTTCTGGAAACAAAAAAACTGTTAACATGCATGTTGGATGTAAGTAGTTTCCGGTGAGCGAGAAGATGTTAGAAGTGAAAATTTATTGTAATTGAATCTAAACTGATTTTTTATCTCCAAGCTGTGATGCAATCCAGTTGAACAATTTAAGAGAACGTGTTTGCAGGACCCCTCCAGGAGATTTCTACACTATGGGGCTGTTTACATGCATGAGCCCGGTTACCCGAGATTCAACATAGCGTGAGAGGACTTTGAGGTATTGAAATTAGTCTTTAAGACACCAAACAAGCACATGCTATTGTTGTGGTGATTATATGACTGCCAGGATCAATGCCAGGATCATGTTATCTGCTCATTTCAATACCTCAAAATCATCTCACGCTTCGTTGAATCTCGGGTAACCGGGCTCATGTAAACAGCCCTTAAAACTGACTTACAGAAATGTACGTAATAATTTTTTTATAGAATAATAAATCCAAAATTGACCAACAATAATTTTTTTCCCGTTTCTCGGCATTTTACTTGTGGCTCAACCAAAAAAGCTGTTTATTAGCAGTTTGCAGTCATAAGTTTTGTTGAAAGCTATTGCACGTAATTCTTATTGCGATAATTTTTCTTAATATAAACACTTGTAGAAAATAGAACATATATTAAAATTCCCAGCATGGCGCTGTATATTTGAAATTTCAGATATATTAGATCAATCTTAACGGAATCTAGCTGTAGCAAGTTTACTATACGCAAGTTGTTTTACAGTTCTTGATGATCCTTTTTTGAAGCAAACGAAGCTTTTAACCAGGTAAATTTAGGTGAAATTCATTCTATTTTCTGTAAAAATGCGGGCATTTGGAGAAATATATTGAGAGAAAGAGGTCACAGCGAGAATACATTATACATTGCGTTTGCAACATAAGAATCAAAGGTTAATAGAGCTCACGGCAAAGGATCTAATATAATGATATCGATAACTGGATTCAACTTGGGTACGGCGGTAATATTCAATGAAAATTTTTAGTATAATATCCAGGGCTGAAAATACAAAACATCCTTTAAACTGAAAGTGAAAGCTCCCTCACTCCATATGCAGTCTGTACATGTTCCATCGTTGCAATTTAGTGTAAAGCGCGCAATAAACCGTTTTATTGGGCAAATTAGATCACCACAATTGCTGTTCCAGAACACAGTTTGTTTAATATCTATAAGCATGCATTTTTATAGAGCTACTGACTTTTATGACTGACTGCTTTAACAGTTAAACTCGTCTGCACAGCGTTCAAGATTAAACACGACGTTACACTTCCTTCTAACACCTCCCTACGAGTCTACTGCATGTGCTGTACCCATCTTTGTTCTTTACCGTATCATTTATAAAATTTAGTTCTGCTACTGTTAGAACGTATACGACACTATGTTTTGATACTTGGGTTGTATTGAGAACCCGCTGTTTCGGCAACAACTTTTCACCAAGTGTACAGGGTGTCTCAAAAAAAACGCAACCACTTAAATATGCAGAACATCAATACATCTCTAAAGCGCAATAGATAAGCACCTCTGAGAATTGAAAATGGCTCTTGATCCTTCATTTGAAATGCTAAAAGTCATTTTAGCTGAACTATGGTGCAAACCCAAACGATATTAATATTCTTGCATATTTAAGTGGTTGCGGTTTTTTTGCGGACACCCTGTAGAGCAATTCCACAGAATGTCCGTTACCACAACAAAAATATTTCAAAAAAACTGCAATCTATTTAATTTATTACAAAGAGAAAAATATCTAATCTTATACCACGAAACTAGTCTCTTTGCTATTTTACGTGGGAGGTTGTTATATAACAACTCAATAATATTATATGAAATGTACTCGCGGCATACATGAATGATATGCTTGTCATAACAAAAATCACTCATGCACAGAATTTTTCAACGCCTCTGCATTCCTTGCAAACTACTTTGCATAAAGGATCTACAGTATTTGTACAGGGTGTCCCCGAAAAACCCAATTTAAATCACCTATTGTTAACTTGTTCGCAAATTATTACCCGTGAGGATTAGGGTGGATTTCCACTTGCAGGTGAACAGTTCGCTATCGAAATATTTGCATGTTTTCTTTTGAAATCTGACAGAATAGATAAATTTGTTCAGTTTGACTGTGAAAAATGCAAATTTTTCGTTAGCGAACCTTCTCTGGAAGTGGAAATCCAGCCTTATGGCAACTGATAAAATGCTAAATACAAGATAAATGCTAAATAAAGTATTGCCAGAGAATAGGGACATGTCGAAGGTCATGTATGGTGCTTGAGTTGAAAACTTACATAATGTTAGCCATATTTGTAAAGTGTAAATTTTGTTAATAAAATCATTTGTGGGTAACAACGAATTTTACTGTCATCATGCATAAAAATGCTTATGTCAAATACTTACACACTTAATATTTATACTGCTTAGGCATTCAAACTCTAACAATTACATTAATTGTTATGGGTGAATTCAATGGTTTGGGTCTTTTTTGGGACACCCTATATAGCGTGTCTCAACAATTATGAATTATTAATAATTATGAAATACTAAAGGAATACTTTCGCTTTCCGCTTTCCGAAAATCTCGCAATTTACCGCGTTCAGTATCACGCAATCCTGCACGGAAAACCATTCAGTATTTTCTTTATAAAATAACTACAATGAAACGACGGTCAAATTTCCCGCGCAAAGCGGCATTGTAAACTTTCCGTGCAGGATTGTCTCATACTGCACGCCTACGAACCAATCAAATTGCGTGTTTCATTTAGTTATTATATAATATAAATTCCCAGCATACTCAGTATTAGAGACTTTGAAATGACAGATTTTTCACTCGCAAACCTTAATAAAATTTTAGCATATCGCAACAGATTACGAAGATTGTTTGAAACCGAAATTCTTCCTCGTTTCAACAAATAAACTTCAGATGGGTAATTTCGAAAGTGGAACCGACAGCCAGACTCGCGGCGAAATTGAACAGCTACTGAATGTGGTTGAAAATCTCCAAAAAGAAGGAAAGTATAACGAGGCGCTAGCCCAATGCCAGCGGGCTCTTCAACTTCTAGATGCGCCCCAGTACATTAACCTGCGTATGAAGTTTTACGGCAATATCATGCAGCTCTACATCTTAATGAAAAGGTTCGACGAGGCACTAAACACGTATTACAACCACTGTGTTAACGAAATAGAGCGCACGGATGAAATCGAGCCTAAAGTAATACAGTCAATCGTCGATTTGCATACCTTGTGTTTGTCTGAACGCGATGAGGAAGATGAAAGTGCGCAGATTCAGCGCCTGCTTTGGAATGAGAGAGGAACGTTTAACATGTCGACATCCCAATAATGCACATTTGCGCTTGCAAATTGTGCTGTTACACTAGATAACTTTCCTTGTAACTTGCAATGCAATTCTACTCCTGAATTCTACTCCATCTAAAGCTGACAAATACGAACATTTCTTACGATCTGCTAACGTTTTCTTAGCATTTCGAACATTATTTACTAATTAACATCCCTCAAAATTATAATTGCATTGCAAGTTGCCAGGAAAATTGCATAATGTAACAGCGCCTGTAGCTGCGTCGTCCCAGTGAACGCTATGTAAACTGGAACGATAATTTGCTGCCGTCTTGAAGCAATGAAGGCAGTTTAATGACCTGAGACCAGTGGCAGTCTATTTCTCTTGTTTGTGTCGGCCAGTAAACTCTATAACGATAACTGTAGATTAAATTACCCAAACTTTTTGAAGCCGAGATGGTCAATTAGGCTCCGTTACCATGGTTCTTCTATGTATAGAACACGCGCGATTTTTGCGTGGAGCTGTCACGAAATACAGTTACTTTAATATTTCTTCAGTTTTTGCATGAAAATATTCATTTTAGTGTCCAAAAAGTCTTGATAAAACAAAAGCTCACCGATGTTTTTGACGGCTTTTTCCGAACTTGTTTTCAAGTCACACAATTGAATGGGAAAACTTTGCTAATTTTTGCTTGCAAAATTTACATTCTTTAAAAGACCGCGTTCTCTAGTTGACAAAAACACGTTGATATGAAGAAGACTACATAAAATGATGCAAATTTGTTTACACAGAATATCGTAATCGTAAATTTCCGCGTACGAGTGACTGCTAGGGGCCTGGATCACACCAACAATCACCATAGCAACGGAGCTTCAATTTCCGCAATATTGGCTTCAAAAGTTGAGTCGGAATTAACGTTCCAGTATATAGTAGAGTTCGCTGGTGTTATAAGTAAATTAGCTTGTAGGTACACCACGTAAATTTTTAGGTAAGAAATAATTACATTTGACAGTTTCGTTAATGCTTTGGTTATTTTAGAGTAGCACCCCTACCATGGTATAATGGGAAAACTAAATACATATATACTGTAATTCTGACTCGCGCGGTGTCCCGCGTGGTTTTGCATGCCCGCGTGGTTTTGCATGCCATTCGATTTTAGACTTTGACGCCATCTTGAATGGACTATGTCTCACATCTCGCCTCGATTTCTATGTGACATACTCGAGTTTGGAATCCTATTACTGTACACTATCAAGTTCTTATGGGATGCGACCACTTGAGTTTTGCTATTTATGAACTTTAACTCTAGCATAAGTTGTTCACATTTTGTTCTCAAGTCTTTCTGCAATCGTAATTTTTTTTCAATGTTTTGTTATTCGCCTTAATGACACTTCAAACTAGCCTTGTAGTTGTCCTGTTTATTCCTATATTTATTATCACTGCCAATCGCCATAATTATGCACTAGACTAAAGTTATATAGTTATATATATTTCGCCGTATATTAGCATGCAAGAAAAAGTCCATAGACATTATAGTACAAAATCATTTGGTAATAAAAAATCGAACGCACTTGCCTAATCTTTGATTACTACCAGTATAACCATTATCCCCGAGCGAGCGAGGAGCGTCATGTGAGGGTAGTAATTCCGCTGGGAGATTTATTACACCCGGATATTTTGACAGAGCATAGCTGAATCAAAAGTTATCTAAATTCTATGTTATTGACGTTGGACGTTCAACGGTCATGGTTGTTTTGCAGCGTCCTGATTAGCCGAGACAAAAAGTTGGTATTTTATTTGTGAATTACAACAGAAAACGACGAATTTCGCTTTGCGCCGGGACCAGGGAAAAACATGACGAAATTTACCTGCAGTAGGGGAATTCCCTCAAACGAAGCATCAAGACTACATATTTCCTGGTATTTACATATTAGGTATAGCTCGTGTTGACAACATGACAGGATGTTTTGCAAGAAATTTACCAATACAAGTATACGATAATGTACGATTACAAGTAACGATGCTGCTCTGAAACCAAGACAGCTTTTAATCAGGTAAATTGATGCGAAATCCATGTGAAATCTATCTATTTTACGTTTATAGGAGTACGTGCATTTATAACACATTTGAGAGAAACAGGTCTGGGCAGGTTTTAGCAGCAATTTACAAGATAAATATTGAAGGAATTTAGTCGTTAAGCTTGACTTGACTTGGCCACGAATGTAATAAAAATGAATCATCACATGGATGCAGCAACATGACACTTTCGTTTATCGCGCTTCGATAGCAATAAATGCCAATATCCGATTACAAACTCAGAAACATAATCTCTAGAGCTTATCAATTATTAAATACAAAACAATATGTCATTGAAGTGAAAGTGAAAGGTTCAGCGCCGCACCGTAAGCTATAAAGCAGGCTATCATAATTTAGTGGTGCTAGTAGTGCTATTAAACAGTTCAATTGGCTTTCGATTTGGCGAATTTTCTGGCGATTTTCATCATCAATTACTGCTTGAGGAATAGGTAATTAGTTGAATATTATTGTGTATAGATACTTGCTGTTGCATTACTAATCGACGTGTTCATACTATGCAAAGCCGAGGCAAGCCTGGCTTCTATTTAAATCTCGCGTTTTGAATGCGTTTCGGCGAGGACTGGCCCAAAACATCAGGAAAACCATGCACTCTTGATATGCTCAGATTTTCTAGTAAAGCCTTACAGTTTAAACTACAAAAATCAAGTCAAAAGCGGCACGTCTAGTTCTAGACACGTAGTCGTAGAGTTAACACGGTTATTGAAATTACCGATTTACATGGCTGATTCATGAAGTTTAGCTCGTCTGAAGTACTGCATGAGTGACAGGTTTATGGCAAGAGCACCTACTAACTACATGCGCCTTTATTCAGCCTATATATCGTATTCCATTTCAATTTTCTTTAATTCTTTCATGTACATACATGTCATTACATACATGTTGTTTAAAATGTCATATGACTACAAACGGAAGTGCTTATGAATTCATCGAATTCGTAGTATGCTAGCGTCGTAGAAAGTATATTTTGTTACTATTTGACTCTAGGAAAGCGGCAGAGTTTCCACTTAGTAGTGAGTGCCGCGAACATATAAAGGTGGCTGATGTGATAGAATATTTTTATGTGTATGCGGCCAACAATTACCGATTTGAATACGGTAAGTATATAAAAGACAAATTTACATCTGGCCTATTTCCCATCCGTGAAAATGCCGCGGCGTCCACGACAATTACAATTAAATTGCGATTAGCCAGCAGCACAACGGAATAACAGTATGGCTTGTCGCAACAGGTTAGGGTAAAACGCGGATACGGACGGACGGATAGCAACGGATTGGCGGACGGACGGACGGACGATTGGGTAAAACGCGGATATGCCTTTTAAACGCCCGAAAATCATATTTTATACCATATCCGCGTTTTACCCGATTGGGTAAAACGCAGATATGAAGTTTAAAATTTGTTTTATTGAAAAGCAAGTTATCCGTCCGTCCGTCCGTATCCGCGTTTTACCCTAACCCTTGTCGCAACGGCTTTATGCATTCATTAAAACCTATTCAATTTAATAGTGAGTCATTGTAACCGAAGGGCAAAATATTCCATCCCACAACACGGAACTAGCTCTTGACATTCACATTCTTTTGCAGCATAACTTGCAGCCATAGTCACGGAGTCAAAATTAAATTTACTTCGCTGATACGAGATAGCTCTAAAAGGACATTTTCTTGAGTGAATTGTCAACAATCTTATAGAGAGTTTGGCAAATACAAAAAAGCGAGCAAGACCTGCTCATCAACAATAGCATTAATTTTCACAAAAAATAACATGTATAAATTGTATCGCCGGCATAGTTGTCGAAATGTAATGTTGTTGCTAAGTAATTTGCATCATTTCATGTTGCAAGAATTCGCAAAAAATTCAACAGTTATGAGCTTTCTGAGCAAAAGAGAGGACAGACTAATAAAATAAACGAACACGTAGCTTGTCTCGTATGTCAAACGTATGAATATTTAGAATATTTTTTATTTGAAGCGAAGTTGTTTGAAGACGCTGCCACGCCGCTCCCTGGTTATTTTGGAATTATACTTTAGAAACGCCTGATTTTAGCCGTGCCTAAAGTTTTCAAAAATGCTTATTTTTCAACAGGTTATAGGAACATATCGCTTGCTATCATTTAGAAATAAACGTGACAACAACACGAAGGGGAAAACAGCCAGTGACTCGAAAAAACATCAGATATCTAAATCCTTCACGAGAAACGAACAAATCACATGGATGATCCAAGCGGCGAAGCCGAATCTGTTGCGAAGGAAACTGTTAAACCACTATCGGAAACGCATACCGATGATGAAGCATCCTCTTCTAAAGAAAATGCGGAGATTCTGGCGTTGGCACAAGAGCGGCAATTGCAAAAGGATGGACAAGAAACAAACGATGATAGCCAAGTAGAGACGTTTAAATTGACTGAATTTGGATGTGATCCTGGTTTGCCGGAAGCACCTGAAAGTAATGCATCGGCTGAAAAAACTCAGAAATGTAAAAACGAGGAAAATGAAGAAACATCTTCTGAAATGTCTTTGGAAGAGAGTGAAGATAACAGCGAAATCGAAGGCGAAGCGTCCGCTGAACCAGTGGTTCTGACAGGAACTCAAGAGGGAGAATCACAAAGCACTGGACCTGATGATACTGATGATCAGTTAACTGAATTTAGTGGTGATTCTAGCCTGTATGGAATATCTGGAAGTACTGCAATGGCCAAAAATGGGGGGAAATGTGGAAACAAGAAAGAACCCCATTCTGAAATGTCTTTTGAAGAGAGCGAAGACTACTTCTCGCTGAACACTGGATTAGCCGATGATAGCTCTGTTCCTTTCTTGTATGGAAGATCTAGAAGAAGGAATCCATTCGTGGACCAGTCCTGGGGAAGAAGGGCTGGACCTTTCTTGCATGAAACACCTAGGACTCCATTTGTGGACGAGTTCTCAAGAAAAAGGGCTGAACAAGCAGTGGAAGCTCAACGATTGGCCGAAAAGGCCCAAGAAAAGGGTCAGTATGAGGAGGCGTTATCGTTGTGCGAGACTGCGCTCCAAACGTTATGTTTGCATGAAGATATTAACCTACACGTGATGATTTGTGGAAATATCATGCAGCTACATTACGTAATGGGAAACACCGACGAGGCACTGAACACATATTTTGATCGCTGTCAGGCAATACTCCAGAACAGTATCGATAGAGTCGATAGTAAAGTTATACAGACAATCATGGATTTATATTCCTTATGTTTTAAAAATGCCTGAAATCAAGGAAGACGAACGATGACATATGCCATTAAATTGCTGTTAAAAGGGATTATGGGGTTTGTCTAAACGGTACACGTTTTCTCGTCGGGATCACCAATTATAGCACCTTACTGTATATTTTGTAAGTAGGACATATCGATAGAATTTTATAGAAGACTTAGTTAAAGTGATTTCTTACACACGAACTATTCAATCACGCAAGAAAAGCACGTACTTTTTGGGCACTAAAAATATCCACATCAACCAGGAGGAATTTCGTTTTAAACTAATTGCCATATTTGTTTACATTTTTCAAGCTAAGCCAATCAGAATGCCTAAGTTTTTAATACTTCATGTAAATTGGTAAATGTACCTTTTTACTGGAAAAAATCGTAAAATTCATGTATTCTGGTTGGGTTACTGTAAATGTAAACGAACTTGCCGATTGGTCTAAAACGAAATTCACCCCTTGTTATCCACATCTGATTTTATTATGTACATAAGAATTTTGCCACGCATAGGCAAAATAATCAAATGTGATCAATGATTTTTTATCAAGTGATTAATAGCTCAGTCAATCGCCTCAAAAAGATTTATTGCGAATTTAAATCGGTTAAAGAAACATACTTTAAAGCGTTTGTTATGTCACATCCGTTAATTGAGAAATGCTTACTTTTGACGAGTTTTGGTCTCCGCATTCTGTTCCATTTTTCTGAACAAAGGCATAATTCTCTGCATGCAAACGAGAAGGTGCAGGAAAAATTGATATATTTAACAAAAAAATTAACTTCGCGGGCAAGAAATTTCGTCAAAAGATTGCCGATCCTCACGTATAAATGATGTGACATGCTGTAATGACCTATAAATGATGTGACATACTGTAATGACCATTTCAATATTGCGGTCGTATCGCGATACAGTGAACTCTATATTTACACTGGAACGATAACTTACACTTATTTGGCAGCAATTTTTGAAGCCGAATTAATTAGCAGTGCCAGTTTTTTTAGTTTTTGCCCGCGCGAGAGGCAACCGCGAAAAAAAACAATACAAATGCACTGGCACTAGGACTGTAAGTCGCGCGGAGTGTTCCCCCCGGTAAAAAGGCTTTTTAAATAGTGCTAACTAAAAAAAACAAAAAACAATAGAGATAATTTTCAGTATAGGACATACTGTGTGATTTGCGGGGCATTTGCACACAATTTGTAGGAATGAAACATAATTAAAAAAATTCAAACCTTTGAGATTGGTGATCGTTGTTGTCGTGGGCTGGGCCGCCGGATAATGCTGTATGTTCATCACTTGCCTCCAAGTCTTTCATTTTATAGCCTGGTAACTGCTGCAGTTCATTACGATATGCCGGGTGTAATACAACCAGCAGGAAGAGATCAGTATGCGTCAGATTTACGTGCTGCCAGATGCCAGATTCGAGACGTTTGAGTAATATTAAGAGGCAGTTCAGCAGAGGCCAAAATTCACTATCTCGTCCTGAAATACAGTTTCGAAAATATTTCTTTTAGTCTCTGAAAGAAAAACTTTCCTGGCTAGTCCCTGTCGATCTGCATAACGTTGCGTCGTGCATGAGAGTTCTGGATATAGTCTAATAAATAACCGGAACGATATATCCTCATTGTTTTTGTGAAGCCAAAATCGCGGGACTTTACCAGACACAACGATACTTCAATAGGGAGGTATCGTTCCAGTTATTTATTAGAGTTCATTAGGTTGTCTAAGGTAAACCTGTTTTCAAGTCTTTTTTTCATTTTATTTTACGCATGCTTAGAACTGTTTCTAAAACTTCGAAAATAAAATAAAATATATATTGGGGTAAGATATATCCTGATACAATCTACTTATTTTCCTGAATAAATTGTTGGAACGTTTAATTTGTAGATTAACTCAGGCTTAGGCTAACCGAATTGAACAACCGACGCAGTCCAGTTTTCTGAATCATGCATGCATTTTGTTTTTACTAATTTTATCTAAGAAATAATGAATGGAAACAGGAAATGAAGAATGGTTAGTACAAATCTAGTAAACAGGGCAAGTAAACAGGGAGGAATTTCATTTCGAACCAATCAGCAATTTGTCTACATCTTTAGTAACCCAATTTTTTATTTATTTTTTAGCAACGCTACTTCCAGTAAACAGGTACATTATTTACCATTTTACATGAAGTATTAAAAATTTAGACATTCTGATTGGCCTAGTCTGAAAAATGTAAAAAAATAGTTCAAAGCGTGATTCCTTTATGTCCAGTTAGTGCGAACTATTATAAATAATCATTGTTCTCGAATAGTATGTTGTAACTGTATTAGCTAATTGTTACTATTTGAAATAGCACAATTGAAACTTTGAGGACTTTTAAAAATTACAGTGAAAACTGGCATCACAAACGTAATTTATCGAGAAAATCAATACATAGACGTCAGGCCTTCAAATATCGACGAATTTCTACGCTTACGCATAAATGTGATTAACTGAAATCACTACTGGCATGTGGTTCTATACTCGAAGTTTTTAAGATAATAATTGAAATTAAAGTGTATATGTATATATAACATTCAAAGGAATTTCAGAATAATTCGTGAAACGTACCAGAATTAGGGCAGTTTTCCTGATCCATCGCGTTAAGAATGATGTTAATGAACTGGTCATGATGATCACGACTAAGCAGCTGATATCGTATTGTTCTTGCTTCGAACTTTTCTAAAAGTGTACACACACTCGCCCAATACTCCTTCTTAGTTTTTTGAAAAAGATGAGACGGCAGAATTCCATCGTTGGCAATTTCCCAATCCTCTGAGCCCAAAAGGCCAAATTCCGAGACGTTTATGATCCATTTCATAACGTCACTAAGGTCATCAAAGTCATCGCATGATATTGAACCGAGAAAATTCACGGTTGATTGAGCTAATTTTCGTACCTAAACGAATGTGCCCTTGGTTAATAGAGTTCTATGGGATGTGGGTGAAGAGAGAGGGTGCACCTCTAACCTAAGCCAGAGGAGGTGAAGGAGGGCTGCAGCATTTTATGTCCGTCAACTAAAATCAGTTCAAATTTCAATAATAAATAATATCCGTTTCAAATTTGTCTTTAAGGTGTAAGAGCCTTGTTCATAGCACTAACAATCTAAGTGGCACCTTAATTACCACTTCATTTTTCACTTACATTCCAATATCCTTACAGCTGGGGCTTGTACCCAGATAAAACTATATACTCGCACTATAAAGCTAATATACTCTTTATAACGTGAAGAAAAAAGAGTTTCCAATCTTTTTTAGTATTAGTTTTAAAACAAGACGAAATGCCCAATGGGCTCATTATTCTATTCATCTCCAATGCTGCTAAATTTTGTACTAATGTCTAGTAGACTAGTAGTAGACCCCCCCCCCAATACATTAGATAGATGCAGAAGGTACAAAAACAACGTACCTCAGAATTTGGATGGATGACGAGTATATACAGCCCAGGTAATTTGCTATAAAACGGTAACGGCGAGCCTAGTGCCTCTAGACGCAACAAAGCTTCAGTGGCAAGGCTTGCTAGCTCTTTGCTCCACAGTAAATACGGAAAGATCAGGATTTCGTGCAAGGATATTGACAGCATCTCGGAAAGTTCATCTCCAAACGACATTTTTACCTAAATAAGTATCATTTTCTAATAACTCTGAAAATTCTAATATGGCCTCAAAGCTCCCACGCGTGTTTCTGTAACTGTATAGAAACTCGGAAAATGTTTTCCATTTCTTAATTGTATACCGCCAAAATGATTTGATTACTTTGCACTCTCTTATGAATTTCTCAAGAAAATGACTTTTCTTATTTAAAAAAAAATATTTTCGTGTTTAGAAATTTTTTTTTTATTTTGAGAAATTATTTTTCTTGATTAAGAAATTATTTTTCTTGATTAAGAAATTATTTTTCTTGATTTAAGAAATATTTTCTTGGTATAGAATGCTGTAAAACTTTTCACATCTCGATCACAGCAATAAACAATATTTGAAGCACAGTTCCTTTTGGCAATCACTAATGCTAAGGATCTAGCTCTAGATATGGTCCCTGTTGGAAATATGCAATTTTGGTCAAACCTTGGGTCAACTATGTATCTGTGGAATATTTACCTTTTCTTCAGAATTGCTCGTATCTGAATGAAGAGACTTTTTTATGTGCACGCACAGTCTTCTGGTCTCCCACGTGAACAGTTCCTACACAATTGCAACAGATATTCAGAGTAAAATGCAATTAAAACAAAAAAGAAACAATTAATACCATACTAAAACTGTTATACAGTACCTTTACAAATGCTTATCATTAGCATGATACAATTATCGGATGCTGATTGGTTGAGAGCAGTACAGTTATTTCATTAATTATACATCTTCCGAATTCAATGGCAAACACTGCAATTTAATTGGCTGGAAGGAGTGCGGTTTGAGGATTAATTGCACCATTCGCGAGTTGTAATTGCATTATATGAATAGACTTTTTCATAATGACGTCAAACGCGGTAAGTCCAATGTTACACGAAGTTTGATTGGCTCGATAGTTTTGTGGAGCCAATCAAATTTAGTTTAACATCTGACTTTCCGCGTTTGACCTCTTTATTAGAAAGGTTTTATTGCGGAAGTTAAATTATTATTAATTTTATAACTTTGTATAAATTGTACTATATACCAAGTATTATTGCTGCATAGATTTAACAGTCATATTGAAGCTCAACAAGTTGTATCTTTTGACTACAAAAGATATATAATTAATAAGGACTAGAACGAAATAAGTCGGGCAATTAAATGCCAAAATCAAACTCGTGGTTAACAAGCCCACCTCTAGCTACAATTAGAGATGAAGAGTCCTTGTGATGTCAATAGTTTTACTTGCCTTTCGTGATGATGCGTTTCTTTTTAAAAAGTACTGCCTTGCATAATGGTAAGCCATTACACAATCCAAACAACCGGTGAGGTTTAACTGCATTTTGCGTGTGAGGTCATCGTCCATTTCTGGGGAACAAAATTCTACCAGGACTTTGGCGTTTGCTTTATATCCGGACATACACCAGAAACACTCCATTTCTAAAAGTAGACGTTGATGCGTGATACGGTTGTAGCAAAGGTTTACCAATCATTTTCTAGTACAGGGGGGGGGGCACAGGGCGCACGTGCCCATCCAAAATTTTTCAAGAAACCAAAAGTGGCCTTTTGTAGAGCATATAAACCACATTAGTTGTGTCCTTGCAGCTTTCGAAATCAAACCGTCCCCATACACATATCTTTAGCTGCCCTTTTTATTAACCAAAAGTGCTCCTGGAAGCTGGTGCTCCCCCCCCAGTCTCTGGATGCTTCCTACACCCCTGTTCTAGTAGATAAATCCTTTCCAAGAACAGAATACAAACAGAATAGAATGATGTAGGAAAGGTGAAGCTTCAATGCTTCATTTCAAAAGCAAAATGTTGTCATGAACAGAGAAACTGCAAATTTTGTGGATGTTCGTATTACCCCGGAAACGTCTGAAAAATGCAATTGACTAAGCATAAAGGACTTGCTTCGCTTATTTTAAGCATTCTTTGAACACAAACTGCCTTAATATTAGATGTCATTTTGGTAGTACAGTACAAGGTAGTTCAAAGTTGGCAGTACAAAGGAGTTGTCAAAATAGTTCAGACATGTTTCTCATAAATGAGATTAGAAACTCAACCTGAAATTTACAGTCTATCCAGGCGAGGTCTCATATAGTTAGCTATGTACTGCACACATCATACAAATCTTCAGCTGATCTTGATTGAGAAACTATAGGAAAAATTGAATGACATTATAAATAATTGTTTAAAATCACTGGTAAATCTGCAGGTATATTTTGTACGGCACACCCTCATTATTACTATTATTACAATGCTACTTGAAAATATAGGCTTATTTTCTGTGTGTTTCTCCCTGAATATTTGCATATGTAAACATAAATGTAAATGCTCATAGGAATAGTACTGTATATTAGTAGGTTAACAACTTAACACAAAAGGACATCTACCTGTATTGGAAACATTTTTATAAGTCTGATAGTATTAACCATGGGCTTCAGTATTTTGATTTAACATGACTATAGCCAATTATAATGAATCAGGCACAAAATATGTTACATTCCAAGTTGTACGGGGTTTTTGACAAAGAAAAAATACTTATGCTAAAATGAGGTATTGAAGGGTAAGGGTAGACACAAATTTGTCGTGTCATAACAAAACCTCAAACATTGCATGACCAATGTGCAATTATATAAAAAATTAAAGTCTACTTGTATTATTGCATTTAAGTGAGTATTTTGAGAGGTGCAATTGACTGGTTTAATTAATCACAGAAGAGAAGTCTAGAAGGGGGCAATACAAACAGTAAAATGGGGAGGGGGAGTAATAATACAATAATATACAATAGGTTATTTTAATTTATCAACTTAAAGGTGTTTCTAAAATGCTCTGAATTATATAAATATCTTTGTCAAAGGAGGTGATAAAATTCAGTTAAACTTCCTCATAATAGACGATTAGGTGATGCCTTGGCTTGGCCGTTTGGGATGATCAACTATTAGCATTATGCCTCCAATATGTCAGAGCAACCTACTTCACTGATGTAAATTTTTGATCAATATTTATTTCAACTATTTTAATCAAATAAAGAACCCTCCTGACATTTAAATATGATGAAATAATACTTTTACATAGTTATCAATTGCAACAAACAAACGGGTATTTTAAAGATTATATCAAATTTGGCGCCACGTGCTCATAAATATTAAATCACCTGTCGTAGTAAATGTTATTTATAGTATAACAATGTTTATATTTTGTCGTAATATCAGAGTTTGAAGTAGACCAAAGTGTATTCAATATAGCTGTATCACAATTAACTCACCTACAAATTCATCAAGCCATTTTTGGAGCAAAATATTCGTTAAATTGCTTGTGCAGTTAACTTGCTTTCATTTTGATCATTACTTCATGTACGCAAAATAAAGCAACAGGACTTCAACACGTGGACTTAAAAGGTTGTTTTCATTGAGATGAATAATAGGTTTATTCATCTCAATGGTTGTTTTCCACTAGGCGGAACTTTCCACGCGGAGCGGGGTTTTTCAGATGGGAGTTTTTCATTGTCTGCGCGCTTTCATGCAGAATTGATGCGAGAAAATCTAATAATTAATGTGAGAAAATCAATGAAAACTCAACACTGTGTGCAAAATTTCACTTACACGCCTAAAAACGATCAGGTTGATGCAATATTGATATGATCAGGATGGAGCAATGTTGTGCTGCCCACATTTTTCAGAGTTGTTATCAACATCGAACAATATTGTTACACCCGATTCATTTTCAACTATATTGTTCAATGTTATTACGTTGTTGACAGTGTGAACAATAGTGATTGTTCCATGCTGATAAACCGCAGGCTAAGAGTTTTTAGCCGTGTAGTGGAAAACAGGCTTAATAATGACATCAACAACGGAAAGGGGAAAACACAGACCCCCGATTCGCCTTCATCCAAAATCATCTGGCGGAGATCCGTTAAACACCCTATAATTTGAAACATCTTAAAATTATCCATTTCTGGTTTGGAGTTTGGACAATATTGCTAATGGCACTAACGATTTGCTAAAAATAGACTCTGGACCAAAAAATGCTTCACCGCCTTTTTAATACAATGCTGTAAGGGAAATGCCCTTTTTACGGGAAAGCTGAAAATCGAAGAACTAAATTCTAGAATGATTGTCCTTCTCTTAACCCCAACAACGTAATTTAACAAGGGTATGATAACCAAGCTCAGTTCCTTTAGAATCCGGATCGTCACCAGTATCTCCAAATCTAAGTTCAGTAACAGGCAGCGTGTTCTTGTCTGTCAGGTATCCACTGTCTTCACGCCATGTTTCGTCATTTTTGTCACAATTACATTTGAATTTACGTCCACCTGCACAGCTGTTGGTCATTCCACATGAACAGTTTCCACTGTCGACTGCCGCTCCGCCCCAGTAATTCATCTTTGAACCTTGACGTGATACCCACCAACCATTCGAGTTTTTCAGCAACCTACTACCATGACATTCGTATTTTATAAACTGCTCACAATACTTTGACTGATTCATTATGACGACTATCTGCTCCGTGGAAATGACATATTTAATCTTTCTCTTATAAGAACCCGGGCGATTATATCCGTCCACAAGTGTCCTCGATTCACTGTCATGTCCAATCTCTGTCACGCCAACACCATTCTTTGAAGTCATGTTACAAAATACTCGAACCAATAAGTTAAAGCCTTGTGGTTTTATAGAATATATCCCACTCACAGTTGCTGGATTTTTTGTTCGTAAATTCGTACAAGAAGTTTCAACATAAATTGAAGGCGATTGGTTGGTATCGTTCAACACTCCTGTAAAAATAACCGTCCGTCTAAGTCATTATTCTGTAATACTTTGAAAACCCATATTTGCGTCTAGATTATAGGTAATAGAAGCTTTACGTTTCAATCATCGTTTTTGCATAGACGATACCCATCCGGTAAATATAGTACGGTAAATAGTCGTCTTTCTTTTTAGTCGTGATTATATAAACGCATCATGGCGGCTGATGTGACAGAATATTTTAGTAGTTTGGGGTACAGATCAAGAAAATACATATTTATTGTAGACTTTTTCGCATCGGTTTGGATGACGTTCCGGTCGTTTCTTGCAATTTATCTGTTGTTATTTCCGAAAGATTTTTAAACGTAGCTAAATTAGGTATTACCTGTGGAGAAATTTTGTGATATCTCTGGATTGCTTGTTGAAACTCGACTCGGAGGTATCTAAAAGTGAAGAAGCTTTTATTGCGAAGCATCAAGTATATATGCTTGGTAGATGTAAAATTGCATGCTTTCGGAGTTTTCAAACAAAACAACATGAAATACAGGATATCCTTGACAACTAGTTTGGCCAATATTGCTATAGTCCACTAAACTAAGGTAACTATATAAGGTAACACAGCTGCATGTCCATTGTCCTTTCACAAGCAACCTCTACACAAGGCCTGACTTTGCTGAATTCAGGTAGCTGAAAACTAATTTTGACGATACCTATAAATGATTGAATTTCGCCGGTAGATTTTTGAGTTATCATGACTTGTTTAAAAGCAACCCGTACCAACTTGTAAAAATGCGCATTATACCTAATTAGTTACTCACCTTTTTGATTATAAAAATGTGCTTGAAATTTTGGTCAATCGAACGTTTAACAACATCAGATGTGTCTTGAATGGCCTTGTTGTTGAGCTCACATCGACCTTTCCCGATTCCAGAAGTTTTGTAGTTAACCGACACACAAGATCCATGGTCAACGCAAAGTATACTACATTCTAACTCGGTTTCAGCGTGTTTGGTTTCGATGACGTGATTCGCTAAATATTTACCATCGTTTATACGAAAGAAAACTTGGACAGTTTGGCATTTGCCCAGATGGAGTATTCTCGTAATAAGAACTAGAATTAACGCACAATTGATGCTTAACAAGACAGACATTCTAGAGGAACAGCACTGATTATGTATACATTTTTGACGCGTATGTATAGCTTTTAATTAAAAAAATTCATTAACTATTAATAGCAAAATGAAATATTATTTTTCCGACGCAATATTTCACACGCGCATTTGCAAATACTTTGATGTAAGACGTCCTGTTAATGTGTAAACATTAAAAACAACACGTATATCTATGGAGCCAATCCTTTTAAAATTACTCAACTTTTCCTTCACAATAAAAGGTCAATACCGAACTTAATCCATATATGCAATGCTAACGCGCTATCATATTTTTGCAATATTGCACGTCGACCTGTACACTACATATTAAATTTACCAAATGCATACAATCAAAATATGTCAGTAGACCTTAATTGAAGTCTATTAAAAAGGAATTAAAAGCTGACATACAACATCACTTTTTATGATTTTACTTTCATTTTTAATGAATATTTAATATTTATGAAAAACTGATATTTCTTACGATTTTAAAATTGAAAACTGACAAACAATATTTTTAGATAATTGATGTACATTCATCAAAAGTTTCACATGATTAAAAACTGTCAAATAGCAATTCTTCAGTTGAACCGCTTTTAATAACTTTAGCGACTCTTTAGTAGCTATGAAAATTAAAATTAAAAACTGGCAAATATTTTTTTTAGTTATTCTCTAAAACGCACTGAAATCCTTGGTTTTTGCTCGATATGCAAATGTTTTTTTCAGCGGGAAATGAGAATGAAGATATGACATAATTCTGCGTGCTAGCTACTAAATACTGCGGTCAAAATCAACAGGGTTATTCATAAACAACATAATTATGTCGAAAAGTGCAAATTGAAAAAGCGACATATTGCTTTAAAGGAAGTTCATGCACTATTGTGACTAATGTCCAATGTGATCTTTTTAATTAAACGTGGCGAATTTTTAGATCGAGTTTTGAATGGTGATTTAAGGTCCTTTTTCACCACAATTTTTCATATTTAGATACCAAATAAATTATTATCGCAACCAGTTATAGCATTCACGAACACTTCGTTACCATTGCCAGGGTATATGGACTTTTTTTAAGAGACAGGGCTATATAGACTTTTAATAAGAGACAGGGCTATATAGACTTTTAATAAGAGACAGGGCTATATAGACTTCTAATAAGAGACAGGGCTTCACTCCCAATAACCGTTTAATTTGGTCCCACGACATCCCATCTTCTGGTGTTTTTCGGTAATAGTCCTTTTCCATGACTTTTTGAGCCTAACCCCTTTTACCTTCAGGACTCCACTCCAAGGCTTGCTGCGTAGTGTTACTCGCGGGTTTTCTTTCCACTTCCTTCGTCTGATGACGACTTCTACCCTTTCTTGTTCTGTTCGCTGCCACAGATCTTTATTATCTTTATCTATCTTCTCTGGCCAGAAGATAGTTAGGATGTAGCGGAGTCTACGATTGATAAATGACTGCGGCTTCTTGATGATGTTTGAAAGTCAGCCGCCACGTCTTGGAGCCGTACAAAATAACAGATTTCACGTTAGAGTTGAAGATTCTCAATTTTGTCCAAAAGGAAATATTTCGCGATATCCAGACAGACCTAAGCATGTAGAACATACTAGATTGTGCTTTTCTACACCTAGCCTTTACATCCTCGTTTGAACCTCCAGTAGTGGTGACTAAAGGTCTCAACTCGTTCTAATGCTTGGCCTTCACACATGATGTCTCCTGTGTTACTAGGGGAGTTTAACTTTATCCTCATCTCTTTGTTCTTGGATGCGTTAGCAGCTTCGGTCTGGAGGGGCTCAAAAATTTCTGGTGGGTATGGGCGGCCTTCGACTGACTAATACTAGGTCATCAGCCAACTCCATAGATCTTCTAACTTCTTACACATGATGAACTGTATTCCGGCCTTATTGTCACTGTATGCTTGTCTATAGTGACACAGTCTAATGCTATTCGGAAAAGAAGACGGCTAAGTAGACATCCTTGACGGTTGGTAGCAAAACCAAAGAAAAAGCAAAATGGCTGACCGGTTTGCTGAGGTAAATAAAGAAGAAATTGACAAAAATTCTGAAGAACTTTTGTCGCTCAACAAATGGCATTTGTCTATAGTATAAAACATTTATACCACTCACTCTGTTAATTATACAACAATGACAACACCAAGAGTTTATATAATTACGTCAATTTTGTAAACAATTTCCTACAGGTAGCTGTAAAATATGACTCATATGAGTCATACATATATGCATGCATTCCGTACAATTTGTTCTCCCCTACCACGAACACACGATCTAATCTAAACAATTTTCAAGTTTGCTGAGTCTGAAATATTCAAGCTCGAAGATTAAATGTTTTGAAGATGCCCGATCATGTCCCATCTAATATCATAGACAAGAATCATGTATACAAAGTAGAAGTTGTTACATTAAGATATATATCAAATTGACATCAACAAGTGTTACATAACAAAGTTTTTTCTCTTAACCCCAACAACGCAATTTCCCAAGTGTATGAAAACCATTCTGATGTGTTTCTTTCTCCAAGGCCACCATAGTATCACCAAATCTCAGTTCAGTAACAGGCAGCGTGTTCTTGTCTGTGAGATATCCACTGTCCTCGCGCCATACAAAATCATCTTTGTCACAATTACATTTTCCTCCACCTGCACAGCTGTTGTCCATTCCACAGGCACATTTTCCGCTGTCGACTGCCGCTCCACCCCAGTAATTCATCTTTGAACCTTGACGTGATACCCACCAAGCATTTGAATCATTAAATAACTTACTACCATGACATTCATATTGGATGAACTGCTCACAATTCTTCGACTGACTTATAATAGCGACAAGCTGCTCATTAGATATATTATATTTGATCGTTCGTTTGTAAGAGCCTGCACCAGGATATCCATCTACTTGTGTTCTGGATTCGCTGTCATGTCCAATCTCTGTCACACCAGTACCAGATGTCATATTACAAAATACTCGGACCGGAAAGCTGAGACCTTGGGGCTTTACCGAATAAATTCCGCTCTCAGTCAAACCTTTATTTAATCGTAAAGTTGTGCAAGAAGTTCCAAACTCACCTGCAAAAAAAAGAGTCTGTTATCCGGTTCTACATATGTTTATGTGAAGAGTTTTGACTGTGGTATTTTGAAGTTTGTACCCCTGCTTTTAATTAGGCATGTGTTTACCTCAGGGTAGGATGCTTTAGAAGATCAGGGGCAAAGAACCTTTGGAATGAATATACTTAAATATTTCTGGAAATTTTCTTAAGATGAGGGCGATGGTTTTGAATAGTCTGTTGAACAATAGACCTTTCCCCCTTTTAGTTTTCAAGCGCGCAATGCGTGACGGTAGTTGATCATCAAGATCAATTTGTGTTTTGATTTCGCAATGTTCTGGAGCGATTTAGTTTAACAAAGAAGCAAATAGAATCGGCAAGGTTTTCTTACAAACAAAATCGCGTCTACGAAGATCTTTTCAGCAACGAGCGGTTATGAGGATAACACGCATTGGTAGACCCTATTTTTCATAACATCCCACTAATGCATATTGTGTAGGAGTAGCTGTTTATGAAAAGGTTAGCTTTGGTTAATGATTTTCAAATTACGTTTCCATGCTGCTGTCATAACAAATACTTTATTGCATGACAATTTCTTGATAGATTCAAACATTTGGTCGGATATTTAGGAAAATTTAAGTTAATTCTGCGAGACTTGAAAATTATGTGAGTAATTTAAAAATTATTCACCGGCTGCGAGGTCCGGATAGAAAAATATTTTCTCGAGGTATCAAAGACGACCCGAGACCGCAGGCCGAGCGGAAATATTTTTCTATCCGACCCGACCAAAACGGTAAATAACGTATTTATTTTATTTTTTTTACAAAACGCGGCGTTTGGTCGTATTATTATTGTGTAGTCATACAGCAATGGCGACAAAAACATAAACAATCAAAACCTCTTTTGTTTCATTAATTTACTAAAATTCACTTCAATTTATCGTGATAATCATTTGCTCCATATATTTTAAAATAAGAGTCAAAGGTTTGTGAGTAAATCTCTAGAAAAACAAAACAAAACAAATGCGCTTTCGTTTGACCATAAAATATAGGATTCCGGACCGTGGTCAGATATCGTAAAATTTCGCCCGCTGTTACAGTCAATTGGATTACAGAAAAGGCTAGGATTACGCCCGTTGCTGATTGAAAAAAATAAAAATCATATATTATACCTGTGGAGAGATTTCTTGATGCCTTCGAAGTACTCGCTAGATCTGGAATCTAAATTACAAATTGTAGTTCAGCGATTTTCACGGAGAATTCGTGTATGGCAATTACGTGGAAGCGAGAACGTAGGGGGTATACAGATCGGTGAAAAAATTTCTTTCAAAAATGATAATACACTTCACTAGCACACAAAAGTTTATACATTAATCAGAATTTTTATGGCTGTTTTTATACCTTCTTGATTATGTAAATGTGTTTGAACTCTTTTGGGTTACTAATTCTTCGACCATCATCAGAATCAGATGTGTCTTGAAGAGTCTTGCTGTTGAGCTCACAACGACCTTTACCGTAGCCATAAATTTTGTAATTAACCGACACACATTTTTCATGACCAACGCAATGCATACCGCATTCTAACTCGGTTTTAGCGTGTTTCGTTTCGATGACGTAATTCGCTAAATATTTACCATCATTTATACGAAACATGGCTTGAATGGTTGAACATTTTCCCTGCTGGAGAATTCTTGAGATGAAAATTAACGCACAAGTTCTTACTAAGGCAGACATTCTGGCACTAAATATAAAGTGCTTTGACGCTCTTTATATAGGTTTTAATTAAAATAGAAAATTCATCAACTCTATAAGAATTAATTTCTATTTTTGATCCGTTTTGTTAACGCTCACTTGACAATATTCGGAATTGTCTTTTTAGGGATAAACATTTGGAAACAAAAACTACGAATATGCTCAAGAGGAAATTATTGTGCATGTTTTTAGTTTTGCTATTGAAAGTAATATACAGATTACTTATGTTTTGCTACAAAAGATAAAATATTCGATACATTTCCTGCACATGCATGTTAATTTATATATTTTAACTCAAATAGCAATTAATTATTATTAATGCAGAGTGTGAAAGTACTTTGAAAATGAAAAAAAAATTTGAAATTAAAAACTACTTTATTGAAGAACACTTATTACTATACCTACTATAATTAATATAAAGGCAAGCGCATTTACTTTGATATTTGAAATTAAAGACAGAAAAAGTTAATTTTAGTTGAACAACTTAACTTTGAATGAATATGTGATGCTTTGCATAGCATATTAACGTCAGGCTTCGGTAATCGGTAAAGAGAACAAGGGGGAATTTCGTTTTAGACCAAGTTTGTTTACATTTTTAGTAACCCAATCAGAATGGATAAATTTTAACTACTTTCGGTAAAAAGGTACCGTACATTATTTACCATTTTACACGAAGTATTAAAATAATTTAGGCATTCTGATTGGCTTTGCTTAAAAATGTAAACAAATACGCCGATTAGTTTATCCAGTCTACAGTTATCCCTTTACCCCTTGTTGGTAAAGACTGTAGAATTAATTGATACGTACGACTGTAGACCTACAGACTTGACACGCTCTTCTATTTTCCCGAGCCTGCGTGAAGCGCCATGCGAACGAACTTACTCCGCTCGGAGATTTGTAACTCCCGGGTTTAAGTTGGACGGTTTAATGGTCATTGTTTACATTGCGCATGAATGAATTTTTGCATTACTTTAAAGTTTACCAGAGCAAAGTTTTCCAATTAGTTAAGCCCTTGCCCTTTTGAATATATCAAAAGTATAAAGTATATTTTAAAAAACTTTTCAATACATCTTGTTATTGTAAAAAAATTTCTTGATGGACATGGCGTGAAATCGGGAATTGCAAATCAGTTTTGTTTTCTCTGAAATGCACGAAATACCCGTTTTGACGGCAACTTTAATAGCTAATAAATCCATGAAGAACTTTTCAATAACAAAATGTATTGCAAAGTTTTTTAAAAAACCATAAACTTTTGATATATCAAAATACCGCAATAAGCACTGTAATAAGCACTTTGATAGACCAGTGATCAAAGTTAACAAGAAAATAGTTTTAGTCACATTATAATATTGTCAACGTGACTTCTCTCAACCCCAACATCGCAATTTTCCCAGTGTATGATAACCACGCTCTCGTTCTCCATTACCGAATCTCCCGCCAGTATCTCCGAATCGCAGTTCAATAACAGGAAGTGTATTCTTGTCTGTCAGATATCCACTGTCTTCACGCCATGCCTTGTCATTTTTGTCACAATTACATTTGAATTTACGTCCACCTGCACACCTGTTGGTCATTCCACAGGCACATTTTCCACTGTCGACTGCCGCTCCACCCCAGTAATTCATCTTTGAACCTTGACGTGATACCCACCAACCATAAGACCTCCGGTCATTTAACTTGCTGTTATAGCATTCATATTTAATAAACTGCTCGCAATTCTTGGACTGATTCATAATAGCCACAAGTTGCTCCATAGAAATCTGATATTTAATCGCTCGTTCGTAGGAACCTGCATCTTCATATTCTTCTACGAGTGTTCTTGATTCACTGTCATGTCCAATCTCTGTCACACCAACACTATTCTTTGAAGTCATGTCACAAAATACTCGAACCGATGAGTCGATTCCTTGCGGCTTTATGGAGTACATACCACTTTCAGCTGAGTGACTTTTTGTTTTTAAGGCCATGCAAGAATTTTTCGTCACATTTGTGCGCGATTGGTTGGTATGATTAAAAATATCTGCAAAAAAACCCGTCTCAGTCATTACTCTGAGGACTCTTTTCCAAAATATTTTGAAAACAGTATTTTATGCATGTCGTGAGTTCTTTTGTTTATTTAAGTACTGCTCGATCGACAAAGCCGTAAATGAGCAAAACTTTATTTCGTACTGCTCTTTCTGGGCTTGTTTATAATATGTAAAATAATAATTATCTATGTGATATGTAAATTGCTTATCATACTGTACCTGTGGAAAGGTTTTGTGATGTCTGTGAAGTGCTTCTTGATTCGGGATTCTGAATTGCAAGTTGTAACAACAATTAACACGAAAAAATACGTAGAAGTACAACACTTGTACGTATATAATGTTGGAACTTCAGAGACACATCAAAATTATTAATACACCAAAAAAAACTAATACAAATTGTTATTTCTTACCTTTTTGATTATGTAAATGTGTTTAAACTCAGGGTTGTTCGTACTTCCATCATCGTCAGATGTGCTTTGAAGGGTCTTGCTGTTGAGCTCACATCGATCTTTACCGACGCCATTAATCTTGTAATTAACCGACACGCATGTTTCATGAGCAACGCAATGCATACTGCATTCTAACTCGGATTCGGAGTGTTTCGTTTCGATGACGTGATTTGCCAAATATTTACCATCATATATACGAAACACGGCTTGGATGGTTGAGCATTTTCCTGGCTGAAGTATTCCCGAGATGAAAATGAACGCATAGATGCTTACTAAGACGGCCATTCTGGCACTGAATACCTAAATCTCTGAAGTTGTATATATAGGTTTTAATCAAAATAATTTTTCATCAACTTTAAATTAATTTTAAATTACTTGGATTCTACTTTATAGATGCTTTTTTTTTCATATATTTGACAAGGATATGTTTTACGACGGTCCCTTCAGGTGTGTAAATATTTGAGAAGTGTCAATCTGACTACTGAGATACTGCATGATATGAAAGTAGTTTTGAACCATTTTTATTTTACACATGCATAGATGGCATTTTTTTTCTCCGACTCACGGCAGGTAAAATATCTCCATAAAATGCCGATCACGGCAAGTATGCAATCACGGCAAGTATGTGATTGCAGCATTTCGTCAAGCATTATATATGCATCATGTATTATGTATATAGCAGGCACAATTCAAAGTGCAATTAAGATATATATATATATATATATATATATATATATATATATATATATATAAATATATCACGCTTTGAAAACTTAAATTAAAAACTGCCAAAATGAATGACATTCTTTCAGTCAAATGACTCTTTTTTACCGATTATTATTATTTTTCATCATCAAATTACATAAATCAAATGAATAAATTAAATAAACTATACATGGAAATTGAAACAACATCTTTTAATTACAACTTTATTACATTTTTACTTAATACATACGTCAAGTTTCCTTACTTCAAAATCGAAATTCAAAAGGTCGAAAAATAATAACGTCATTCTAAGGCGCTTCCATCAAGCGGCCAAAATGGTCAAAACGGTCATATTTTGAGGTAGAGTATTTCCTTAATAATATAGCGGTGCATGAAAGTGTATTTATTGTGCTAGGTACATGTAAATAGCAATAAAATGAATTTAGATTTGTTAAAACACTCTAAAAAAATACCAGTAAGCTGTCTGTAATGAAACACACTGACAGTTTTTACCGTATAAAGGAAAGCCCCTAAATTTATATGCGCACAGACGCTCGGTTCCGTAAAATCACATTATTCTGGCTTCCTATAACTATAAAGCGGTGCGCTATTTGTTTTCCGCCGCATGCATTTACGGTCGTATATACATATATAGCTTCTTACAAACGTCAGCAAATACCCAGACAGTTTTGCCGAAATTCAAACAAAACAATGTTCGCAAAAAAGTTAAAAATCGGCCCATACAACGTAGTTTTTTACCTCGAATTAGTTCAAGGCCTTATGTTAGCTTTAGGTCTTCGTGCATTGGCCTAAACCTACTCACGCGATTGGTCAAAATCAATCATGTGGTTTCTTGTTAACGTTGCCTGGTGACAGATCATGGGAATCATAATTTATTCGCAATAACTCATGAAAATCATGGTTTATATTCAAAAATGACAACTGGCAACGAAGCTTGGATCTTCAATGAGGCAATCAATGAACTCAGATTGTATATTTAAAGTGTTAGCGACTTTATGTTCGTGTTTTGTTTACAAATAAACCCACTTGGAGTTGCTGACCTTTGCTTTGCTTCACTTTCTCTAGTTATTCCTCGTTAGGCAAATTGGCGCGTTTCAGAAATAGTCCCGTTATGGTTTCATACTTTGTCTTATACCGATTCCCAATCATAATCTTGGGCTTTTTTCTCCGCCATGAAATGAATAATTATTCCAAGAAGCCGCCTGATTTCATTTCGTGCCGGCGTCTTGTAATCTTATATGCGTATTGATTAGGCAAGATATCATTCTAGACCAATTGTCTGTTTATAGAGGACACTTCATTATTAAACTCCTCAACAGTTCATTTAAATAAATAAATAAATCAGGAAAGAAGCATCAGTAATACACCTTTAAAATGTAGTTTTGTGTGTCACCCTCGAAAAGTTTAAAACTTATCCAAGTTCTAAATAATAGAACTTAACTAAAGTGTGTCACTGTTCGATTAACAAAAAGAAATAATTATAGTTTTATCAATTTGATGTTTTCTCTCTCAACCCCAGCAACGCAATTTCCCGAGTGTATGAAAACCACACTCATTTTCTCCACTATTGGCCACACCGGTATCTCCAAATCTCAGTTCAATGACAGGCAGTGTCCTCTTGTCTGTCAAATATCCACTGTCTTCACGCCATATCGCGTCGTTATTGTCACAATTACATTTTTTTCCACCTGCACAGCTGTTGTTCATTCCACAGGCACATTTTCCACTGTCGACTGCCGCTCCACCCCAGTAACTCATTTTTAAACCTTGACGTGACACCCACCAACCAGTCGAGCTTTTTAACAGCTTGCTATGATAACACTCATACTTTATAAACTGCTCACATTTGATTGACTGATTAATAATGGCGACAATCTGCTCGGTAGAAATGCCATACTTAATCGTTCGATTATAAGAGCCTTTTTCGTTATATCCGTTCACAAGTGTTCTTGCTTCACTGTCGTGTTCAATCTCCGTCACACCAACACCATCATTTGAAGTCATGTTACAAAATACTCTGACCGGGAGGTTCAGTCCTCGTGGCATTATGGAGTACATTCCACTCTCAGCTGAGTTGAATTTTGTTTTTAAAGTCGTACAAGAATATTTAATTCCGATGAGACAGGGCTCAAATAAACCTGCAAAAGTTTGAAAATCGCTTAAATTTCGCATGTCTCATATATTTCTGGACTTATATTTATAGCTCATGTTCACTTAAATCTATAGCGAACAAGTAAAGGCGGATTTTCATTCCGTGCAAGATGTCGCGCTATCGACTTTTTGGGAACTAATCCCATTAGATGAACTTTACTGAACAAATTTCAAAAGAAGCGATCGCAAAAAATCGATCGCGCGACATTTTGAACTGAGTGCAAGGAAGTTGTCGTATTTAAAAAAAATTCCACAACTCAAAATGTAAATTTAACGTTCGTTTACACTTCGACTGAAAGACATCAGTCTAAAAGAATTTAGCTGGGCGCTTGGATAATCATAGAATTGTCATATAAAAATCATATCATATCAATATGAATTATGAATTGTCATATTTTAAGTGTAAAGTAGTTTAGTATTTATTCCTACATGTTTTACATAGTGTTTTAGGCCCCGTAAAATCTGTATTATGTCGTGGCCAGTTTATTGTCTGTATAATATGTTGTGTTTTAGCGTTAGAAGGATGGATTTAGTATGGGACTCGATCTAGTTCTGTTATTCATTCCTTCAATCATATCTATATGTGTATATATTTTTAAATATTATATATGCATGATTGTAAAGCTAATAAAAAAAATATACCTGTGCAGAGATGCTTTGATGTTTGTGACGTCCTTGCAAAATCTGTTATCTAAATTAAAGGATACGGAAGAGATCATTTCGGTGCTGTATATATATAATTACGTGCATCAGCATGGCAGACTGTGTCTATATTAATGAAGCTTAATATGTTTTTTCTTACCTTTTTGATTATATAAATGTGTTTAAACTCAGGGTTACTCGTACTTTCTTTGTCGTCCGATGTGGCTTGAAAAGTCTTGTTATTGAGCTCACATCGACCTTTATCGATTCCAGCAATTTTGTAGTTAACCGACACACATGATCCATGAGCAACGCAATGCATACTGCATTCTAACTCGGTTTGAACGTGTTTTGTTCCGATGACATGATTCGCTAAATATTTGCCATTATTTATACGAAAAAAGCCTTGGACAGTTAAGCTCTTTCCTGACGGGAATAATGTTGAGAAGAAAATAAACGCGCCAATGCTTGCTGAGACAGACATTATTGCACTGGATATACGTTACACTAGTTACTCCAACGCCAATTTTAATTATTGGTTATATTGTTTAGTTCATGCATTATTAATATGAAAATGAAATCTAATATCTTTTATTCATTTACAATGTCACGACTTTGGGCTGTCTATTTATATGTAAACCTTTGAAAACATACATCTCTGAATTCTCGATACAAGTAGGGAGAATTTCTCAATTTTGCCCTTATATTTTACAAACGTTTACCAGAAAAGGCAAAATTAGGACTTATATAAATCTTTCTAATCAAACATGTTGATTAATATATATCAAGAGTCTCAACTTTGAAAATCACAATTAAAACTGACATATCATTGTTCCACATGCATGTGAGCAAAGAAAGATTGTTTCTCAACACGGATTATAAAAAAAGATATCGATCTATTAATATAGAGTGGAGAAATAATGTGTCTTTTGTACACTATATAAACTGCGAAGCAAACCCATGAACGCGTTAATAATTAATATGTAACTGTCTAAGTTTTACCTACAATGTAAAAAATAGTTTAATTTTTACTCCATGCATGGGTTCATTTTCGTATTTAAGATACAGACCGAAGTGTATTGAACCAACAAATAACATTATTTTTCCAAATGCTCTTTTTTGGATTAGTTTTGCCTGATATTTCAGCATGTCGAGATAGGATGATAAGCGATCATTGACACTACAAGTTAGACATTTAAAACTGAATTATTAGCGTTTTAATTTGCATCACAGCGTGACTACTGTGTGAAAATCAAATAATATAGCCTTTCACTCTTATCTTAATCGGTATATTATACACTTAATGTATGCTCCCAAGGGAAATAGTGGGTTTTGTTTTACTAAAGGCAGATTTCCACTTACAGCTGTTGGTCATTCCAGATGAAGAGTTTCCACTGTCGACTGCCGCTCCACCCAAGTAATTCATCTTTGAACCTTGACGTGATACCCACCAACCATATTGTCTACCATTATGGAATAAAGGAGTATTGTAACATTCATACTTTATAAACTGCTCGCAATTCTTGGACTGGATCATGATGGAAAAGATCAGGTCAATAGAAATTTCATATTTAATCATTCGTCGGTAGGAACCCGGATTCTCAAATCCTCTAACAAGTGTTCGTGATTCACTGTGATGTCCAATCTCTGTCACACCAACACCATTCTTCGAGATCATGTTACAAAATACAGGCACCGTGTAGTTAATCCCTCGTTGCTTTATAAAATGCTTTCCACTTTCAGCTGAACGATTTTCTGATCGTAGAATCGTGCAAGTTTCAATTGCAATCGGGGCTGATTTGTCGGTATACGATTAAAAATACCTGAAGAAATAGCAGTCATAGTAACTAGTATATACACACAAAAAGATTTTAGTAAACAACATTATGTAGCAACGCTGAGTTCACCCAATGTTGTACAATTAGTGCTCATTACTCAAAACCCACTGTAAATTTATCATAAGGAAATTTTGTGCTTCAGCTGTGCTATGAGAAACATGCAATCATTGTGAATATCAAATCTCGATTCTCGAGTTGAATAAAGTTTAAATGTAGTTAAATGAAGTATATTATGTTAAAGTATATCAGGTCAAAACAATTTCAAGTTTCTGGATAAAGAAAAAGTCGTAGTTAGAAATGCATTCGTCACGCAAAATATATTGCTATATATTTCCACGTTGTAACAGTGAATTAGCATCAAATGTGGTATAACAACTGCCAAAATAGACAAAACACTTCTCGACGTTTCGACCTGAGGGCTGTTGAGTTGTTTGAAGACGCTGCCACGCTGCTCCTTGGTTATATTAGTGAGTTGGTATAATGTTGGGTGATTTACAATGCATCGTGGGGCTGTATTATGGAAGTTCGGAGCTTAATTATATAGTTCGGGATTGATATTACACAATATACAAGAGCAATATAAAAATAACAAATATAGACAAAGTTAAATATTGTTACGAAATGCAAATATATTCGCACAAGAACTAGGGGTTTGTTCTTGTGCTGGATGCCACGGTTCGGATCCTGCCTAGTACTATTTGGTTTCCGTTATTTTTTACTTTTTAAATATCTTTTGCAAACTCCTAAATTGATCGCGAACCAGAGACAATACCTTTTTGTTAGTACTTTGGGTTATTTGAGGGTCTGGTTTATTTTCTGTGTAATTTCCGTTAATAAGATTGTGGGCGATTGACGGACGGATGTTAAAGATGTACCCGACCGTCAAAGATGTGCCCGACTGTCTTCGGAAAAAAAATTTGCGGCAAATCGATTAATCATTTAATTAAGTGAAAATTTCTGGTAGTGTAACTGCCTTTCTTTAAGATTCTTTTTAATATATAATTAAATATACTTATATTACTTTACTTTATTACAATTTATAGCTACACAGAACTATTCGTATTTATAGTTTCGGACAGCTTATTAATAGTATCGTACCGTGCACACCTAAACAACTAAACAAGTGATGAATATTTGTGTGACATTATACTTCGCCAAATCACTCCATACATAAACCATGTTTCAACGCACATACAAGCAAGAGAATTAGATGACTTAGTGTCCGTGCAGTGTAACACTGATCCTTTTGTGAAATTTTCACGTGTTCGTTTTCTTTCCCGCAGGCTCACATTCACGTAATACTTCATGTCTTCACCATGCTAAATGTTTCAATCTAGTACCTTATACTGAGACCCTCAACCATCCCAACACAATTTGCGCGAACACAAATACAATTGGAGAATTACATGCATACATGCACGACGTACAGTGTTTCTACTATACTTCTAACTAATGTTAATCAGTAAACTAAAACATTAAAACTAAAGCATGGAGTGCATATGCAGCATATACACGGAAAAGTATGGACTGGGGAACAGGCTACATATTATCATGTTAAATCATTGTTATATTGTTCATATATCAATATCTAATTTTCGTGCCTTTTTTCTAACCTGTTCCCATTTTTAAGTAACTTTCATAGTAATTTGTTTTGTAGTTAAATAAATTGCCCTATAACAGTTTTTTGAACCGAAATATTAAAAAAGAAAACATATATGGAATATATTTGAAAACTCATCTTAATCCATAGCTACTGCAGCCGTCACACTCTTCACTAAAATGACAACGAGGCGCATACTCAGGCGGGGTATTACTTGCTCCTAAGAAACGTGTTTATTAACTGCATGACTAGTTGCCTACACAGTGATATGTTCAGGTAGATAATTTGCAAATCAAACAATCAATATTGAGAATGTTATTAAAAAAATGAGATATCGAATTATGGGTATTTTACATACAGCGCATAAAAAAATTAGTCGCAAGGAACTGACGTAGCTTCTCTCAACCCCAACAACGTAATTTTCCCAGTGTATGATAGCCATGCTCTCTTTCTCCATTACTGAGTCTCTCGCCTGTGTCTCCGAATCGCAGTCCAGTAACAGGAAGTGTATTCTTGTCTGTCAGGTATCCACTGTCTTCACGCCATGTTTTGTCATTTTTGTCACAATTACATTTCTTTTTACCTGCACAACTGTTGGTCATTCCACATGAACAGTTTCCGCTGTGGACTGCCGCTCCACCCCAGTAAGTCATATTTGTGCCTTGACGTGATACCCACCAACCAGTCGAGTCTTTTAACAGCATACTATGATAACATTCATACTTTATGAACTGCTCACAATTTATTGACTGATTCATAATAGCGACGATCTGCTCAATAGAAATTCCATACTTAATTGTTCGTGTATAAGAGCCTTTACCATCGTATCCGTCCATAAGTGTTCTTGATTCACTGTCATGTCCAATCTCTGTCACACCAACACCATTCTTTGAAGTCATGTCACAAAATACTCGAACCGGAGAATCGAGCCCTTTTGGCTTTATAAAGTAGGTTCCACTTTCAGCTGAATTGTTTTTGGTTCCTAAAGTCTTACAAGAAGTTTTCATCGCATTGGCTAGTGACTGGTTGCTATGATTCAAATCACCTGCAAAACGTGTTTTAATTAACAATAGGAAATAACTAATTTTGAAATTAGAATTTTGAGTCTGAAAATGCAATTAAATTTAATAAAGTTAATGATCTAGGCCTTAATTGTATTGACAACCAGCCATTAACGAATGTAAGTGATTTTTTGGGGCTGGCAAACCAATAAATCATTCTGATCGACATGAACACACGATATGAAATTCTAAAGTTCGGCGAGAATTTAGATATTTGAAGAGCAATACAAAAATAACAAAGATAGACAAGGTTACTTTAAAAGCCATAGATATATAACCAATGGATCATTCTGAACTAAACAGTATCGTTGTGTCATTGTTTAAAATTTCGATCTAGTTTCTGCAAAATCCGCTATATAAGTTCTGTCAATATAGGGCTGTCCAGAATTTTGAATTCTCCTTCTCCTAAGGGGTAAGGATTTAAAATTATACGCGTAAACAGATGAAAGCTATACTTAAATTTGCCGCGTAGATACAGAAAAGAAACGGATATATTCACAGTTTTAATACTCATTTCCACAAAAAAATTAATGATGTTCATAGAAATGTTATATAGAAATGTTATACCGTGGTTATACTACAACCACTACACCAATCACGGTTAACTGTGCACCAACAGGACGTATGTTATACCCATGCATCTTAAGTTACCGGTGCGTGGTCTACGTACATGTTTCTGTTTAACTATTAAATTCTAAACAGATTATAATTTGTATTTTATGGTGATTTTATGAAAAGCGCCACTTAATATTCAGTGCATCCACTAGTTAACCTTCAAATCAAGAGGAGATGGCATTTGACTTGGTTTAAAGCAAAACGATAAGGAACTTGATGACAAAAATTTCGAATTCTGTGTGAAGTTCACATGTGTTGGCTCATAGAGGGAAGACGTTATATGCGTAAATCGAATGTTATTATACCTGTGGAGCTCTTTTGTGATGTCTTTGAAGGGCTTGTTGGTTCCGAATTCTAGAAATAATTTTAGAGAAAGTGATCGTTATGGATAAAATGTGGATCTGATTGTGTGGAAGTTCGCCTGCTGCGTGAATTTGTTAATAGCTACTGCATGGCTTATGAAGTTGTGAGTAATATACTAATATATTATAACACAACATTTCTTGCAAAGATTAAAATCGAGTTTACTTAACAACACGCCTTTGTTTTCCCTTACCTTTTTGATTATATAAAGATGTTTGAAGTCAGGGTCACTCGTATATCCATCATCGTCGGATGTGTCTTGAAGAGTCTTGCTGTTGAGCTCACATCGACCTTTACCAATTCCAGATGTTTTGTAGTTAACAGACACACATGAGCTATGTCGAACGCAATACATACTGCATTCCGACTCGGTTTTAGCTTGTTTTGTTTGGATGACATGATTCGATAAGTATTTGCCATCTTTTTTATGAAAGAAAGCTTGGACGTTTGAGCATTCGCAAACCTGAAGTATTATTGAGAAGAAAATTAACGCACAAATGCTTGCGAAGGCAGACATTTTGGCACTGAATACATTTGGATTCTACAACGCTACATATATATCTACGAATTTTAATCAAAAAAGACTATATATTTAGCACTATAGCATTAAAGTTTTGAAAACGGAAGTTTGACGTTTCCGATCCATTTTCCTTATACAAATTTGACAATGTTATAACAGATTATAAATTTTATGACTTGTGGCTGTCTGCATATTTTATATATAAACAATTGAAAACGACACTGAAATCTGGTGAAATTCTTTTGAAACTTTAAATTCTGCTTTTACATTCATATATAGGTCCACTAAAATGATGAACTTCTTTACACAATGCTTGCCTGTGTATAAAGTACGTGCGTGCAATATTGTACCGCCAGTTTATGTACATATAATATTAAATGATTAATTCATGGCGGTATAGTGAATTGTATATTAGTAATTCATCATGTAAATATGTCTCACGCATCGACAATTAAAATTAAAAGTAATGAATAAAATATAATAATGGATATAATAAATCATAGATCTGAAATAATATGAGTCACGGTTAGGTTAACAAAAATCAGACAATATTTGCTTTAATTCTACTTACTTTGCGAACTTCTGTTTTAATTGCCTAGGGTACATAATTGTTACACTCATTTACTGCAGCTTAATTAATATATCTCAGCAACAGGCAGCGTATTTTATTTGCCAAGTAACTGCTGTCTTCTGGCCTTGGTCAGTCTTGTCAAAATTACATTTAGATTTATATTTGCGAGCACACAACCACCATATTTACCTGCTTGGTCGAACCTAAGAACGCTGCTACCATAACATATTTATATATTTTATTAACCACTCTACCCCAGTAAGTCATTTTTGAACCTTGACGTGATAACCTCCAACCATATTTGACACCTGAATATGATAAAAGTTTCGGTTATAGCAACCAGTCCACATGCAAGTGTTCTTGATTCACTGACGTGTCCAATCTCAGTGCCCAAAATACTCGAACTGGGAAGTCGAGTCGGTGTGGCTTTATAAAATACCTTCTACTTTCAGTAAATGGAATTAGGTTAGTAGTGACGTCAGAAATTCTAATTTCACAGCTAAAATACATCCAGGAGCGAATCTAGGGTAGACCAGTCTGTCGAGCGACTTACGTACATTTCGCAACGAAGTGACAGTTAAATAATCAGTCTTCTCTTTAAATCGTATCGCCTCGGGATTGTAATGAGAAATTCATACCAAAATCCAATTACGAAAACAATATTCTTTTATCAAAAGCAGCGATTAATCGCAAAAAATCTCGCAGACTGGGTGGCAAGGCCATATGATTTGCATGTTCGATAAGCCATTTAAACTTATCTCGGCTGATTTTTGGGGGGCCTTACTGAATTGCACCTTAATGGAGTCAAATCAGTCCATTTTGTGCATTGTGATTGGACAGTTTGAATTTACCGGCTTCCAATATAATATTATTTTATTTTTGTCCTTATATACCAGATTATACGCTTTAGTTAAATATGACATTGTAAAAAGATCAATCATTTAACATTAAAACCATAACAAGTCAACTTCTGTAACAAAATGTTATAATCAATGGTATCAAAAGCCTTTTTCAAATCAATGAATAAAATAGCCTTTATCAACCCACTGTCCATATTTTTGCACTATTTATCAGTGTCATCAAGCAAGCATAGCTATTAACGTTGAGTGAAGAGGTCTAAATCCTGACTGTATGTCTGATAAAAGATCATAACTGTCAAGATATAAGTAGTTTGAAGATGTACATTATTTACAACTAACTATTTATTACGATGCAAGAGTGTTCAAAATCTGTCTAGTGCTTCGTTCCGTGCGGTGAAAATTTGCAGATAAAGTTAGTGCAAAAAGAAAATTCATTTGACTATTTAGGCTATAGCAAAAATCACATAGATTACATCAGGCGTTTTGTATCAATCTTTAACCCCAGCATCGTAATTTTCCGAGTGTATAATAGCCATACTCCCTTCTATCACCAGTATCACCAAATCTCAGTTCAGCCACGGGCAGCGTATTCTTGTCTGTCAGGTATCCACTGTCTTCACGCCATGCCTTGAATTTCTTGTCACAATTACATTTTCTTCCACCTCCTCCTCCTACACAGCTGTTGGTCATTCCACAGGCACATTTTCCACTGTCGACTGCCGCACCACCCCAGTAATTCATCTTTGAACCTTGACGTGATACCCACCAAGCAAATTTTTTACCATAATCATTGTGGAAAAAGCTACTGTAACATTCATACTTTATAAACTGCTCGCAATTTTTGGACTGGTTCATAATGGCAACAATCTGCTCCATGGAAATGTCATATTCAATCTTTCTCTTGTAACAACCTGGAGGATTACATCCACTCACAAATGTTCTTAATTCACTGTTATGTCCAATTTCTGTCACACCAACACCATTCTTCGAGGTCAAAATACCTGAAGAAATAGCGGTAATAGTTACTAGTATTTAAACACACAAAAAGATTTTGGTAAACAACAGTATGTATAGCAACGCCGAGTTCGTCCACTGTTGTACAATAATGGTCATAATTTAAAACCTCGTGTAATTAAGGAAATAAGGATATTTCATAAGGAAATTTTATGTTTTAGCAGGACTTTTAAATACCTATTTACAATGATAAAAGGTGAATTTATGAACAACTATAATCGAATGTGGATTAAGGTTTATAATAATGATCGATCATGTTTGACTTCAACTTCTTTTTAAAGTTTCCGAACAAGAATTGTTTGAGTTCGTCGTTTAGGCTATTCCATAATCTAACAGCTCTGTATATCGGTAACTTCTCTGGCCTGATGCAGTTTTACATAGGGGATTATGCAGTCACTTCCTATTTCTGCTATCCCAGTCGTGAAGTTCGCCCCGTTTACTAAATATTTTGCACAAATATGCCGGAGCAAGTCGATTCATGCATTTATAACTCATGATTGCGTCTCTGTTTATATAACGAATATTCCTTGACAGGAAGCCATCGGATTTCACGTAAAGCGGGTGTAATGTGGTCGAATTTCCTCGTGTTTGTAATAATTCGGACCGCGAAATTCTGGACTGCCTGTAGTTTCATGACATTGCCTATACGTATTAGACCAAACAGACGAACAATAGTACAATTTACTCATGACTAGTGTACTGATGCTATTGGTCAACGAATTATGATCGAAACAATGCTTGACTTTATTTATTTAGCAAAGTTTGGCCAAAATTCAAAATTCATGCACGAGTAAAGAATGATTTTTTATCCGATCTTTCTTTAGTCGCATATACATATATAACAAATTGCAGTCATACTTGTGGATAGATTTTGTGATATCTGTGGATTGCTTGGATGCATCTATATCAAGATGAAGAAAATTCGTAATTAGAAATGCAAATTCGTCACGCAAAATATTATATTGTTAATTCCAAGTTGTAGTAATACAGGGTGTCTCAAAAAACCCGAAAACTATTGAAATCACTCATTATTAAAATTTGAATGCCGTGTTCACGAATTTTAGCCCGTGGGAATTTAACTTATAAAATAGTAAAAAGGAAAAATTTGAAATTGTGAATATGATTAAATTTGACTTAGCCTTGCTATTGCTTCGAAAGAAAAAGGTACAGCTGACTTCGAAACAACGAGTGTTCATTGTGATAAACTATACGCGTACCCAAAATACAACGGAAGTGCGAAACGCTTTTCGACGAAGGTCGACAAAGGAAATTTTACTGCATCACTGTATTATTGTTATGTGAACTGATGAAAAATTCATCCAGTAACGTGTTGGGAGGGACGACCAGCAGACGTCATGGGGCTTTGTCGTATACATTTAGATATTTATTTCATCACTAAATTTTAGCTTTTATGTTAAGCAATTATCACTTGACATTTTGGTTTTTGGAATTGGGGTCCTGAAATATTCATTGAAATTTTGTCAAATGAAAGACGGTTAGTCTTATCTTTGAGACAAAATTTAGTGCATAAATACTTGATCGTGAAATGTTCGAAATTTTGTCCTAGTCCATTAACTAAGGTTGATAATTTTGCACTCGTAGTCACTAAAGCTCCCTATTGTTACTCCTTCGTACGGGCTACACAAATCTAACTATAAACCTAAATAAAATTGTCGAAGATGCCACCGACCAGCTAAGGTTTCTAAATTCGCGCCATCGAGGTGACATTTAGGAACTTTAAGGCTGCCACTTACGCGTTTTTTATACGCAAGTACACGTATGGAAACTTATAAATGCTTTTAAATTTTTATTTTTTAACATCTAGGTCGAATAATGCATTCTAAAATATGCAGAAAACTAAGTTCCTTCGATTTATTCACTTCGTTGTTTCAAAGGTGTAAAATTTTTATAAGGATTTAGACTTTTACGTGCGTGTACTGAGTACAAGTTTCGTATAATTCTGTGAGTTGTTAGCGAGCTCAATATTACTCCTTCTAGATTGTGTCCTACCTCTTGAGGCGTAAAAATGTGTTTGAACTCAGGATTTCTCGTACTTTCATCATCGTCGGATGCGTTAAGGGTCTTGTTGTTGAGCTCACATCGACCTTTACCGATTCCAGAGGTTTTGTAATTAACCGACACACATGATCCATGCGCGACGCAATTCACAATGCATTGGAACTCGGTTGTAACATTTGTGTTTATTGCGATGACATTGTTTGCCAAATATCTTCCATTTACAATGCGAAAAAAAGCTCGTTTCTCAGCTATGCATTCGCCTGGTTCAAATATTTCTAAGAGGAAAATCAACGCACTAACCCTTACGAAAACAGCCATAATGACACTGAAGATGACCGTCGCTGACGCTTCTTTTTAAGCGCTGACTTATTATTTATGCAACAATTTTGGTCACGCACAATTCCCTAAGACAACGTTTATATCATACTAGATTCATACGGTCACGACATAAGTTTAATTAAGTTTTTTACAGTATCTCTGTCCCCAGAACTTTTTCATTTGGCAGATTATATTGAAGCAATCATGCTACCGTACTTTTTGTGGTAAAACGTGCTTTTACATTGCTAATTTTGATGTTGTGAATATGCGAATCCTGTATAACGCAAACAGGTACTAGGACAGCTATATACCCCTCATTAATAATTTCATGTGACGAATGTCTCATTGCCTTGAGTATTTAAACTTTCAGACCAACGCCCCAACGGCTTATACGATTAGCATTACTTTATTTCCGTGCTAACTTAAATCGCTATCATTTAAACCGTTGGTATGTCAAAAAATCTAAATGTAGCTAATTTCTTTTAAATGTGTCGGAGCGTTTTCATTCCAATTAGTTATCCTTCATCAATATTATTTAAATTCATATACTTGTTTTCGAGAAATATCCCGGCAGGTATCGTACGTGCTACGCGCTATTTTTCATTTCTGTCAAAGTCTTAGTTCTACCCGACTGTAATAAAGTTTCGATTTTCGATTTAGTAAGCGCTAAACTACTCACAAAACACAAACAAACAATATATTTTTGAAAGATGACACAAAACCCTTGTGCTCTATCTTTTAAACATGTTAACATAGACGCCCTAAAAACACAATCAAAGGAAAAATATATGCTTTTAAAATATGTTTTTATTAGCCTCGACTTGTATATTAAATTCACAGTGCATGTTTGAAACCGTTTTGATATGAAAACGAATATGAAAAAGCTCGAAAACGTTACCCTGTGTACATAGCCTAAGTGATCTGATATAATTTGCTCCTAAAACGGCGGCGATATTGATACGAGACTGCAATTTCACATGCGAAAGCGGTATACTCCACAAACGTAGGGCAATTTTGTGACGTCGCTGAGCTTTTTTAGAAACTGGTCCTTTCGGCTAAAACGTTTAAACAGCAGTTTTAGGCTTTTGAACATAAAGTTAAGTTTAAGGCGACACCCTTATATTAAAAAATTACCACGGCTTGCTTAAACAACAGATTAATAACTTTTAAACAACAGATTCTAACTTTTCAAACGCTCTTTATAGTTAAAAGTAACCAGTCCCGAAGCGTCGCAGAAATGGATTTGCAGATTCTGCCTTTGAACCCCAGCAACGCAATTTCCCCAAGGTATGAAAACCATACTCTAACCAGTCATCCGGAGCACCAAATCTCAGTTTAGCAACAGGCAGCGTGTATTTGTCTGTCAGGTATCCACTGTCTTCGCGCAATCTCATGTCCTTCACGTCACAAGTACAGTTTCCTCCACCTACACAGCTGTTGGCCATTCCACAGGCACATTTTCCACTGTCGATTGCCGCTCCACCCCAGTAATTCATCTTTGCACCTTGACGTGATACCCACCAACCATATTTAACACCAGAATAGGAAAAAGGACTGTTAAAACATTCATATTTTATAAACTGCTCACAATTCTCGGACTGGTTTATAATGGCAACAATCTGCTCCATGGAAATGGTGTATTTGATCGTTCGCTTGTAACAACCTGGATCTTCACACCCGTCTACATGTGTTTTTAATTCACTGTCATGTCCAATCTCTGTCACACCAACACCATTCTTTGAAGTCATGTTACAAAATACTCGAACCACGAAATTCAATCCTGGTGGCATTATAAAATACATTCCACTGCCAGCTGACGGATTTTTCTTTTTTATAGTCGTGCAAGACGTCTCACCTGCAATTAGGTACGACTTGTTATTGAAAATATTCCTTAAAAAGGTGCTTTAAACGTTGCGAAAAGATGTGTCGTTAACATCTTTAATATTAATTGTAAAATGACAACATTTACTTGATGATAACAAAAGTTAACAACATTTAATGGGCCAGCTATGGTAGGATATATAACGTTACTGATCGATGATGCACCCGTGTCATAACCGGTGTCACGTACGTAGCAAAAAGCTAGACAGGTCCAACTAAGTCGAAATTATGACTGCGAGGTGAGGATAATTAGTGTTGTATAAAATATACAGGCGTATCAAGTGCAATTAAATGATAGATAAATAACAAAACATTTCGTTCTGGTGGTGACAGGACGTTATTTCGAGTTGTAGCAAAGGGCATAGGTCAAAGTCAAATTTAGGGAATACATATTATTGATTTATTCTTGATTTATTTGACCCGTTGATTTCTCTTGAAGATTTTTTATAATTATGTAAAGATTTTATATATTTAAGAAACAGTATACATGCAGTTATAGAGACACGCGTGGGAGTTTGGGAGAACGAGAAATAATCAGTGAGAAAACGAGCCCGTATAGGGCGAATCGGATTATAATGTTTGTACATGCACATTTTTTTATTGAGTTATATTATAAAAGAAATAGAAACATTTTGTCGACCTGCGTTTCTATACAGTTTGGGAGAACTCGAAATAACGTGGAAAACTCTGCCCTACGGGCTCGTTTTCCCACTGATTATTTCTCGTTCTCCCAAATTCCCACGCGTGTTTCTATAACTGTATAGAAACACGGGAAATGTTTTCTATATCCTAAATACAACATCCTAATTACGCTCCCTAGCTACGGCCTAAGCTGCAGCCGAATTCCAAATATGCATACGGCAAGTGTATAAAAATTTTACCTGTGGGAGGATTTTCTGATCAGGGTGGTGGGTTGCTCTTTTGATCTGGTTCCTGAAGTAAATATAAGAAAAAGAAAAAGATATTCATTGATTATTCGTTTCATTACGCAGTAGTGATTAAAATGAAATAATATTGAGAAGTAAATATTATTAATCTCCTACCTCCAGATGAAAAAATTATACAGGGCTAGGAACATGTAAGCTTTGGAATTTCTTTTGTTTTAAGGCAAAAAGTCGAAAGCCCAACTACGCCCAAATTAAACCGAAAATATATTCCGAAATATTGGCCCTCGCGATATATATTATATTGTTTATACACCATGTCTAAAAACTTCCACCTTCTTTTGGGTGAAAATTTCTGGTCCTAAACTCTGACGTCATGCTGTGCGTCAACACTACATGATCTAACGCCCACCCACAGGAATACACTGATGTGATGCCCACAAATTGACGCAAGATAATAGAAAAAGTATAGCGACGTCTCGAATTTTGCTCGAATTTTCTACCATATCAAGCATTCAAAAACCTTCATGGCGTGCGTTCACGATTGAACTGAACTTTTATTTTAGTAGTTTGAATATATTCAAAGCACTATCCCCCCATTTTGTTTCTTTTTTGCGATGCAAGAGTGTTTAAAATTACAATTAATTCTTTATTGCGATGCAATCAAGGTTGTTCAAAAATTTTCCCAGTGCTTCGTTCTGTGCGGTGAAAATTTGCATATGTTGATTATTTAGGCCACAGCAAAAGTTACATAAAATAGCTACATCAGGCGTTTTGTTTCCTTCTTTAACCCCAGCATCGTAATTTTCCGAGTGTATAATAGCCAGACTCAAAAGAAGCACCAGTATCACCAAATCTCAGTTCAGCAACAGGCAGTGTGTTCTTGTCTGTCAGGTACCCACTGTCTTCACGCCATGCGTTGTCATTCATGTCACAATTTTTTTCCACCTGCACAGCTGTTGGTCATTCCACACGAACATTTTCCACTGTCGACTGCCGCTCCACCCCAGTAATTCATCTTTGTGCCTTGACGTGATACCCACCAAGCTATTGATTTACCATTAGCAGTGTAGACAATACTATTGTAACATTCATATTTTATAAACTGCTCGCAATTCTTGGACTGGTTCATAATGGCAAAGATCAGGTCAATGGAAATTTCATATTTAATCATTCGTCGGTAGGAGCCCGGACTTTCATATCCGGTCACAAATGTTCGTGATTCACTGTCATGTCCAATTTCTGTTACACCAACACCATTCTTCGAGGTCATGTTACAAAATACAGGCACCCTGTAGTTAATTCCTCCTGGCTTTATGAAATGCTTTCCACTTTCAGCTGAACGATTTTCTGATCGTAGAATCGTGCAAGTTTCAAATGGGGCTGATTTGTTGGTACGATTAAAAATACCTGAAGAAATAGCGGTCATAGTTACTAGTATATCGACACACAAAAAGATTTTGGTAAGCAACGCCAAGTTCGTCCACTGTTGTACAATAATGGTCAAAATTTAAAACCTCCTGTTAGAAAGGAAATAAGGATATTTCATAAGGAAATTTTATGCCTCAGCTGTGCTATGAAAAACATGCCTGAGTCTTTATGAATGTAAATCTCGAGTTGCATAAAGTTAAAATGAAGTTGAATGAACTAAATAAAGTTAAAGTTAAATGCATGTATCTGGTCAAACTTTCAATTTTCCAGAATATTTTATTCATGCAGATTCACCACAACAATGAACGTATATTCGCGTGAAATTGAAAAACAAAGTAATGTAATGAGAATTTGTAATTGAATCGAAATATAATATTTGTACAAAACCTTTTATTGAGTTTACTATAAAAGAAACGGAAAACATGCATTTTTTCCCGTGTTTCTATTTAACAATCATTCGCCGAAGGCTCTGCGAATATTATACACTTAATGTATGCTTCCGAAGGAAATAGTGAGTTTTGTTTTCCCAATAGTCTGAATGATTTTCAAGGTTGATTTTCAAGATCAAAAACCATACTGGCAGTCAAAAGAAACTGCTCAAATATTCGTTTTAAGACCAATAGTTGTTCGAAAGTAATCTTCTTGTTCGAAAAGGCAAAAGAATATATATATTATATTATTATTATATTACTATTTAAAATCTTAAAATTACAATGATTATGCGCTACTTAGAGTTTCACTTTCATGATGATCGATTATTAAATGTATTTATTATTAAATAATAAAGGAAGTTAATGTTATACGGGTCTTCGTATCGTAGTGTCGCGGGTCCTAGGACGCTTGTCCGGTCGGCTACTTGCCCCCTCCGGTGAGTACAAATATGAGCCCAGTTTGCCTGATCGAGTTGTTAGTTGCTTGCGTGACCCATCCCGCCCCTTTCCCTAACGACTTCACGCGATGTTGTGAACTCTACGGGAGAAGCGTCTTATTAATCTCGCTGGGGTTTTTTTTTTTTTTGTTAGTTTGTTTTGCAGGATTAAGCACAGTTCTTTTCACACCCGTTTTGGTCGTGGAATTGGTGTTTGGGGTAAAGGTAAATTCATTAATGATCGCCACATTTACAGGTTTGTTTTTTTTTTGTTTCGTGTGTGTGTGTACTTTGATGTTCGTATCGTTTATTCCACGGTTTCACTTCAGTGACTCACGTGTGACAGTTGATCACGGGATGGAGGAGGTACCGTTAAAATAGCATGGTTCGTTGAGTTATTATCTGCGCCGAAAACAGCAAACTCAAAAGAAACACCGTTTCACCCCTAGCCCGACCGTTTCGCTCGGATACCGTCTCCATCCCTACCGATCGGCAGCGGGCAAAAATATAGTGTAAGAGCTGGTGTGCTATCGTAATGATGTGAGCCTTAGGATCCGTTAGAACGTTAAAGATCGTGAAACTCTCGAGTAGCGAACAATCATTGTAATTGTAAGATTTTAAATAATCATTTACATATATTTACATATCGCTCGACCAATCACAGGCCAGAATTTTCAATAATCACCTTTGTATTTATACAGGGTGTCCCAAAAAGAACGCAACCACTTAAATATGCAAGAATATTAATATTGTTCGGGTTTGCACCATAGTTCAGCTAAAATGACTTTTAGCATTTTAAATGAAGGATTAAGAGCCATTTTCAATTCCCAGAGGTGCTTATCTATTGCGCTTTAGAGCTGTATTAATGTTCTGCATATTTAAGTGGTTGCTTTTTTTTTTGGGACACCCTGTACTAATTAACAATTTGTCGGCGAAGTGATTACAAGCCTATATTATTTTCACTGGGCCTCGGAGGCCACTAAGTTTCGAGGTGTTTACAAATAATAGTCAAGGTAATTTCATAAAAATTTATAATTATGTACTTCAAATTTCTTATTTGAAGAACAACAACAAAAAGCTATAGTCACTGCCCAGTGACTATCACTGCCCAGTGACTCAGTATCACTTCAGAGACAATGAGGCAGTAAGTCTTGACCAATCAGAATGGAGGAAAATCATTAGTCACCTCGAATTTTATACCAAAACTGTATAAAAACAAGGGAAATGTTTTCTATTTCTTAAATATAACACAAATGTTTATATAATAAAGTTAAATTCATGCACGAGTAAAGAACGATTTTTTATCCGATCTTTCTATAGTCGCATATACATATATAACAAATTGCAGTCATACTTGTGGATAGATTTTGTGATATCTGTGGATTGCTTGGATGTATCTATATTAAAATGAAGAAAAGTTGTAATTAGAAATGCAAATTCGTCAAGCAAAATTTTATTTTGTTAATTCCAAGTTGTAGTAATAGTTGATTAGTAATATTGGGTGATTTCCAATGCATGGTGGGACTGTATTTAAGGCCGGCGCACACTAGAGCTATGTGCTTAGCAAAAAGTCATTCGTGGCAATTGGCGTAAGCCAGTTGCTGTCGTGTGCGGACGATTTTTCCGGCGAGTTTGATCATTCGTGCCACTTACGGCAAATATTCAGCATGTTTGATAATTTCTG